AGATAATCAACAGACACATTAGAAAGGGGAGTCTCTGGATAAATAAAGAGTTTTCTGTAAACTAACAAACAGAACAAAGAATAATAGGGAAAATAATTTATTTTGTTATGACGTAGGGCAGGCATGTCCAAAGTCCGGCCCGGGGGCCAATTGCGGCCCGTTTTCAAATTTCGAGTGTCCCACAGCCTCTTCTACCTGCCGGCTCAGCCTGTCACTCATCCCAGCCGGCCGACGTTTTTCTCTTCACTGCACAGTGGTTCCCGCAGCTGTCCCCTGCTGCCTCCTGCTCCTTCAAGGCTGGTGGTTATATTTCACCAGAAGATGGCAGTAGACCTTAGTCAGCACTCTCGCCGCATGACCCTTGTGACACAAGGCTTGTGTGCCCATTTCTAAAATGGCAACAGTAACTAAAAAAAGGAAAGTTGACAGCAAGGGCCTCCGCTTCCAGGACAAGTGGAAACTGGAGTACTTTTTCACTGACATATGAAACAACTGTCTGCTTAATTTGCCAAGAGACTGTGGCTGTTTTCAAGGAATTCAGTATCAAGAGGCACTACCAGACGAAACATGCTAACTACAACAAGCTAACTGGGAACAAACGCGGCGAAAAATTGAAGGAACTGGAAGCTGCTTTAACGGCACAGCAGCGCTTTTTCACAAGAGCCTGCGAGTCAAATGAAAATGCCACAAAGGCGAGCTACGAGGTGGCGACACTGATTGCCAAGCACTGCAAACCTTTTACTGAGGGTGAATTTATTAAAGACTGCGTGATGAAAATGGTGGAGAAAATTTGTCCTGAGAAGAAGCAAGAGTTTGCCAATGTTTGCCTGGCTCGTAACACTGTGGTACAGAGAATTGAAGACATTTCATCTGATATTGAGAGACAGTTAGAGGCAAAAGGAGTGGAGTTTGACTTTTTTTCATTAGCCTGTGACGAAAGCACAAATGCATCTGACATCGCTCAGTTATTGATTTTTTTGAGAGGAGTGGACAATGACATGAACGTGAGTGAAGAGCTACTTGACCTCCAGAGCCTTAAGGACCAAACAAGAGGAACAGATTTATTTGTTTCTGTTTGTTCCGCTGTAGATGACATGAAACTACAATGGAATAAAGTCACTGGGATTATTACGGATGGTGCACTTGCCATGGCTGGCAAGCGAAGTGGATTATCAACCCTAGTCTGTAACAAAGTCAGCAAAGAAGGAGGCAAAGCTATAAAACTCCACTGTATTATTCACCAACAAGTTCTCTGTGCCAAACATCTGAAATATGATCATGTTATGAAACCAGTGATGAAGGCTATTAATTATATTCGCTCCAAAGCTCTGTGCCATCGCCAGTTTCAACAGTTTCTACTCGACATCCAGGCTGAATACAGAGATGTTGTGTATCACAACGAGGTAAGATGGCTCAGTCGGGGGTCTGCACTGTAGCGCTTCTACTCTCTTAGGGAGGAAATCGGACAATTCTTGGCAAAAAAGGGACAACCGATGCCAGAGCTATCTGATTCTGTTTGGCTGGCTGATTTTGGATTTTTAGTTGACATAACACGACATCTGAACGTGCCGAACATGAGCCTTCAGGGGCAAAATGCAGTGGTAAGCCAACCGTATTCACATATCAAAGCCTTTGGGACCAAGCTGCTACTTTTCCAAAGGCACCTGTCACAAATGCAGCCCAATACCACACATTTCCCATCACTGCAGGAAATAATGACCAGTTTTCCACAGAACAATATGAGTGCGAAAATAAGGAGGTATGAAGCAGACATCTCATCTCTGGCTGAGGAGTTTCAACAGCGCTTTTGGGATTTTGCAGCTATTGAAAAGGAGATCATGCTTTTTTCATCTCCTTTCTCTGTGGACCCTGATGACGCTCCAGATCACCTGCAGCTGGAGTTCAATGAGCTGCAGTGTGACGCTGAGTGTCGCAGTCGGCACCAACAGCTCCCTCTTGTCAACTGGATAAAGGCAGGTTCCAAAAGATTCGAACATTTGCTAAGAAAATGCTGCGCTTGTTTGGTTCGACATACTTGTGCGAGAAGACGTTCTTGGTTATGAACATTAACAAGAACCGTGTGAGGACGAGACTAAGTGACTTTCATCTGCGTGACATCTTGTGCATCAAAACCACTGTTTTTGAGCCAGACCTGGCCTATATAATGCAGTCGAGATCTCAGTATCACCCTTCACATTAGTGCAGTTAAGTTATTTGTTTAGTCTTTCATGAAATAGTTCATTTGCATTTAATATTAATGGTTCAAAGAATGTCAGGCTGAATGGTGGGCCCCCACACATTTTCACCTCACCAAATCTGGCCCTCCTTGCAAAAAGTTTGGACACCCCTGACGTAGGATATATAATGTATGTTCTCTGTACCTCTTTCGAGACTCTGATTTGGGAAGCATCTCCCCTCTGTCTCCGTTTATTCTATAGTGCACCAGAATAAAACTGCAATTAGCTCTAAGTCTCGTCTCAGGCTCTGTTTGGTTTTTGGGTCTGGGGTCCACCTGGGGTTTGCCCCAGCTGTTAACTGGTTAGAGTCCAGTAACAGTTTTGGTGCCCAACGTGGGGCACTGAGCGGACTAAAGGCGAATTTTCCCTCAAAATTCTTAAGACTTCTCCCTCAAAGAACCTCTTTTCGGACGGGTGGATGACTGGCATTAGAGAGCTCTCCCTCAGCATTTGGGCTGAGGCAAATTTGGCTGGAAACCTCCACCAGCTGTGAGCAGGGCTTGAGGAAAGGGTGGCTGAGAGGAAAACGAGACGGGGAGAGCTAACCCCGACAAGACAAGGAGCTCCCAGGTAAGAAAAAGCCTCTAGTAAAAAGAGTTAACTGCTCGGGGGAAGACCCGGTTCAAAAGAAGGGGAATGAAAAAAAAAGTGCTTGGGGGAAGACCTGGTTCAAAAAGAGGGAAATGAAAAGGGCCTCCGGTTAGAGTCCAGTGCTGGTAAGAGGTCAGCAAGTTGCCCATCCCTGTCTGACAGCCAGTGACTCCCAAGTAGAGTTGAAAAGGGCCTCCGGTTAGAGTCCGGTAACACATTGTTAACATTTAAGAAAAAACAAAGTCAAACTGGAAACTGTTGACACACACTACTTTATCAGTCTAAAGAACTGTGCATATGTTGATGACTCAGACATTTAAGAAAATTTCAACTATCTTCCATTAAGGCTATTAGGGCACCTTCAGTTTTGCTATTCCTATTTATTCATTCCATTTCAGACTGAAACATGAATGCATTTCAATGACATACATATACGCTATCACATCTGCTAACAATAATAACCGGCAAAAATAATTACAACTTTGAAGCTGCCAGAGTAGCCAGATATTGTATTTACAATGAACATATGTTAGTTTTTACTAATGAGCTCATGAAATGGCTTTTCCCCCCACGGAAAAATTAAGTTCTGTAAAATTTCCATGGACCGTTTTCTGCCCATCACTGTTTTAAAAATTTAAAAAGGAAATTAACGATGCCTTGATCACCACTGCACGATATAACCAGCTTTGTTGCCTTTTTCACTGACAATGATTTAAAAAGCGCATTTCATCTTGAACACTCACGTTTCATCTTTAATCCTCAGAAGTAAGTCTCATGGCCTTAAGTAGAATTTATTCCCACGTCTGTATTGGTGCTCTTTTACATAAACGGAACAGACTTGCTAGTAAATTTTATTAAATGCCATAAGCCTCACTCTTAAATGCGGTAAGTCTTTAAGGTCTTTATTTTTAACCTTTTAAACATATTTGTAACCTTAATTTTCAAAACCAAATACCCCTGGCTGGTTATTCCCCATCCCCCATCTTGTTAAAGATCCACCTACCGTAATTAAATCGTTATCATAATTGTAATCATTTAGAAATGAAATATGTACTACCGGTGAGACCAAAGTACTCTTCTCTACATCCAGCAGAAGGCCGCTCAAAAACCTGCGGCGGCAGCGATTCAAATTTCCGACTTCTCGCGAGAGCTGATCCGTTCAAACTGTCGGGTATCCGGATCACGTCATGTTGTTGTTGTTGTTCCGAGTATGTCGTTTTCTTGATAGCTTATTTCCTGAGCAATCTTATGCACATTTAGGAATAAGGTGGAATAAAAGTAGGGCCACTTTCAGTATGGCTGGCTGGAGGGTGTTGGCAATTGTAGAACCCTTTTTCCACCCCCAGCTAAACTGCACTAGAAAACCCTAAAATGCTTGCATATCGCCAGTCATGCAGTTTAATATTTCAGGACTGTGTGCAACAATGTATTATTCAAAACGACTAAAAATAAAGCGGATAAAAACAAGCCAGATAAGCAATGAAGACAAACCGAACATTAAAAATCCCTCTGTACATTAAAAATCCTTTTCTGCCTAGCGCTGAAAAGGTGATAAAGTTGCCGCATACACGTAAAATCCCATGAGAAGTTACGTCAGAACTTCTTGGGTGGGGTGAATTTCCTTCTATCAGATGAATCCGTCTGAGTCGCAATTTCCAGGAAACGGCTCTTTTTCTCATTCTCTTGTAACCGGAAACCGTATGGCTTAGGTTTCTCGTGTGTAAAATTACGCAGAAAGTAACAAAACGCACTAAACATACTGCGTGAAGTGCTCATACTATGAAGATACTGAAGTGAGGCTATTTTCCTTAATTTTATAATCTTATAGTAGAAAACCTCTTGCAGCACCGTGATAGGGCGTATGGAAGCACAGTTCGACTACACATGCTATATAGCAGACGCTGAAGGTGCCCATTCTTTGGTTTGCGTAGAAGGAAATCCTGTGGTGGAAATTCTTGTCAAGTTTACCACATATAAGAAAGTGCTGGCATTGTTTTAAATCTATGCGCTTATAGTTATACAGTGGGTGAGGGTGTTGTTTTTAAGGAGGGGACAATTGTGTTCCTTGAAAGATAAAAGGCGAGATATATACAAAAAAAATCCGTTGTCTGGCAATTCGACTGCCTAATTCCATTCTTCCTTTCGGCCTAAGAAGTAAAACTGACAGCTATTCCTAGACAACGCAGAATCCCAATACTTCAACATAGCTCTGATTTATCGGCATCGTGCTCTCTGAGCAAACATACATTGAAGCAAAAACACAAGTGTGCTAGGTGGTAACATGACTTTGTGTATGTGTTTGTGTGCCTGCCTGAGTGTGCTGCAACTGCAAAACCTCAATCTTTAACGTCATTGTAGAGAGCGCTACGACAGAGCGCGCCTTAAGAGAACTCTGCCATATAGCCGAAGCCAAATCACCTACATAAAGGAAAGCGGGCATGTGTGTTTCTCTAGGCTTCCATCTCTATGGTGTTCCGGCACCGGAATCCGGTCGGCGACGTACAGGAAGTAGGGTTGGGGGGTGTGAGGGGCCTACGAAGATACCCTGTGATTCCCTGCAGGCTCTGGCTGAGCAGAGGTGAGTTCGAGAACGAGCGGGTAGGATACCTGATAACACCCTTCCCCCCTGCCTTCTTTTGGATGCCAGGAGGGATCCTTTCCCCAGCTACACACACATCCCTTTGTTGATAGCTGGTGGTCGTGGGAAGGTACTGCGGTATCTGCTGGATGGGAAGTGTTTCTCGCACCCGCCAAACCGCGGGTGGGTTTACGCTTCCAGGAGCCGAGTATCCCGAAGCGTGATTCTTTTTCCTTCTCTGGCGGCGGAGTGTTAAAGAACGACACGGCAATGTTCCCTTCCGGCCCATTAGCCGCGAAGGTGCCCCTCAGTTGACTGGCTTTATTCTGTAAGGGTAGCGCTGTGATTCCATCTTCATTCCCATTAGAAACCCAAAGCAACGTACGTAATTTTCTTTTCGTGGCCTGTTCTTACATCCACGCGATTCGTATCTGGAATTGCCTCCTATCGCAGCTCTGCCTTCTGTGTATAGCCCAAGCTTAGTCGGGCCTTCTGGCATTATCAAAGTAGATATCAAGTAAATTCGCATGGGGTGGAGTTCCATTACTAATATGCAATTTCCAGAAAAAAAGATTATCTCTGATGATCACCCATCATACATCTGAACATCTGGATGTAAAAAGCCAGGCCTTTTGCTTGGTTCATGGTGATATTTATACTTGTGGCCTGGAGCCACTTGTTCTGGGATACTGGACAAATAACAGGTCAGATAGTGATGTAGCATATGTACTTTGATTGTGAAAAGTAGTCTGTTTTTTCAGTTGTAATTATCTGATAGCCGTTCCGCGCAGACTTCTGTAAGTATCTTCTGTTTTCATTTCGAACAATATTTGGAACAGTTTTACTGTCTCTGGACTTCCAAGACAGAGTACATGAAGAAATAATTGATCTACTGAATGGGACATATACTGTAATTTCAAGGTTTCCAGTAGAGTTACACTGGCTTCTGTTTTGTTCTCCTGTTGCTTTGCAGTGAGCAGCAAGTAATTGCTTGTTGGCAATTGGTATGGTAATTGGTTTGTTACCTACCAAAGCTTGGTTTGGTTTGTATTTTCAAGAATCCTTGAGTATGAGCTAGTCTGTGGCTCCACTTGAGCCACATTGGAACCAGACTGCTTTTATTTCATATAAAAAGGGGTAGCAAAACTTTTAAATGCAACCATTAGGGAAAGCCAACAGAGTAGCATCTAGTTTGGATTAATAAGCTGTGTTGGATGAAGATGAACACGTTTCTTATTAAGCAAACATGGATTGGGTGGAAATGGATCATGATCTTACAATAAAACATGACTGCTAGTTAAAGAGGCTTAAGTGTAGCATACTAGTTAGTGGTGGGACTGGAGACATGAGGCATTCAGGTTCTAGTCCCCACCCAACCTTGTAGTTTACTGGATCACTTTGGGCCAATTATTCACTCTGAACTTAATCTACCCTACAGGGTTGTTGTGGAAATAAAATAGAATTGAGGAACTCAGTGTAAGCCACTGTGTGTTCCTTGCAAGAGGAAGAAAAGTATGATAGAAATGTAATGCAGCAATAATGATGAGGGCTACAATGGAAAATGCACATGCCAGAGACATCTGGAGAACAACTCCATGAATAGTTGTTTCAACTCTTATGCTAGAAGCCTCTGAACTAAGATTGGGAAGTCTGACTAGTTGGTTTTAAGAGCAAAAGTAGATATGGTGGGCTTAGCAGAAATCTAGTGAAATGGAGAAAACTAGTAAGATATGGTCATTCCTGGATATATAAATTCTAGAGCAGATGCATCTGTCCCTAGTCAGATGGATGGAAGCAAAAGACACCCTTTAGCTTACCCAGAACCTACTTACACAGTTACCAAGCAGAGTTTGTTATATTGTGAGTACTGGCCACACAGGTAGCAGATGGGAGGCACAGAACCTATTAGTGCCCTACCAGTATGACTTGGATCTGTTCCATGTGGTACCCAATTTTCCTGGAGGCCTGTAGGGGTAGATGCACCTGGACTGCCTTAGTAAAGCATTACTACTGGGAAAAAGATAAATCCAGGCATGTGAGCCTATATAAAGTTTTTTGTGGTTTGCCACGAAGAGGGAAAAGCTCAGAACAAGGCCAAAGCTTACCTTCAGCTTCTGTCAGTCATTGGGGTACCTTTTCAATGCATAACCCTTGATCTGCTTGGCTCATTTCCTCACTGAGTGGCCTCTCCAACCTCCAAGCTTGAGGAACCTGGTAATAGATTGTGCCACCAGGTCCCCAGAAGCAGTGCCACTGCATAAAATATATAGAGACTGTGCCAAGACCTCATGGATATTTTTTTTCATGAGAAAGGGCTTACCACTGGGGGTTGTCAATGACCCTGGTTCTTATTTATTGTCTAAAGTCATGGTGAAGCTATGGGAAAGACACAGAACAACTGTTGTCTCTCCCGGCTCTCAACCTGATGGCCTAGTTGAGAAATTCCATTGCAGGGCTCATGATCAAAAAGCATATACGTTGCTCATGCCAAAGACCTGGACAAGACATAGCAGCAGTACTGTTTAATTACCGCTCCACACCAAATTCCAGCCTAGTCTTCCCTATTTGAACTCTTGTTAGAGAAGTGTTGGGGTCCCTAAATCTCTTTAAGCCACCCTGTGAAGGGGTGGTGCCACAGCAAGACCTTTGTAGACAACCTCCAGAACTTCTTTACGGAGATAATGGAATTGGCCCAACAGAAAATTAGAGACACAGGGAAAGCAGAAGGTTTGGTATGACCAAGCATCCAGAGAAGAACTGAACCAGCCAAGAGATCAGGGGATAGTGCTGAAAGTCCACAGGTCCACAGGAAGAAAGCTACCTGGGAGAGGCCATACCTGGTCAAACAGAAACAAGGAGTTGTAAGTTACCTATTTGCTGTTCCAGGCACTAACAGGAATCCTAAGTTATACCAATGCTCTAAAGCTATTTTCTACCAGAGGCAGACAGTAGTGTTGCTGATGTCACATCCAGGGACTGATATAACCAAATATACCATACTGTGTATTGTGTTTGCTTTTCTGTGTGTTTAGTGTCTGTAACCTATTTTTGTGCAAAACCTGGAAGGAAGAATCAGGCAGTGATCCCCCTGCTGTTTGAGTTTTTTTCAAAGGAAAAGGTTGGCCTGGAGTAATCCATTCAGTCAGATCATACTGATTTGATCATATCGAGGGCTCCCCCCCCCCAAAAGAGAGAGAGAGGGGGAGGAGGGATATCTCCCTTTTGCAGTGAGTTGCAGATCTCTAGTAAAGGTAAAGTCCAGGTCATCGGAATGCTGGCATTTAGGTGCAGATGCTCTTGCTAAGATCTTAGCAAATTATTGACTAGATAAGTGCCCAGGTGTTTAAGTAATAAGAAATCTTCTAGAACCCTTCTCTAAGTTAGGAATGAATGATTACCAAGCAAGCACTGGACAAAAAACGAGGGATTCTTCTGGAATCACCACCCAGGCAAGGGAGAGGAACCAAAGGAGATAAACTCCAGGGAAAGCAAGTCAGGTGTGTTTTTTCTCTTGGTACTGATGCTAAAAGCAGCTCTCCCAGGAAGTAGGAGAGCTTAGTACAGGCACCCAAGGATAAGTAGCAAGGGACATTTCAAGGGGTGGTGAGGAGAGGAGAATATGAGGTATCTTGAGGCCTCTCCAACCTCCTTCCCTGGCCCTCTGAAATGCCATTGCTAGATGGCCAAAAGTGACTGGCTAGAGGAAAATGCAGAGGGGAAGATGAAGATTGCTTTCTCCACTACTGCCCTGTAGAGGAAGCAATCTTCATCTTCCCCTGTGCATTTTCCTTCTCATAGTTCAGGTGCTTACTTTTGCTTTCATGGAATAGTATCCTAACACACTTAAGAAGGTTACCTCTGATAGTCTGAAAATCTATTCTAAACACATCAGTTAGTGAGTTCATTCATTTACCATAGATGTAGTACCTGTTCATAGAAATAAGAAATGTACCTTAAACTGTAAAGAAAATGAAGAAAAAAGCCCGTCTCCTTGTAACAATCGTGATTGCTCCTTCCATCAAGTCTTTTCCTGTACTCTAAAAGCTGTTCTGCTTACTCTTTCTTGCCTGATAGGAAGTGTAATTTATAACCAAGAAATTGAATCTTGTGATTTTCTTTCCCTTATTTCATGCTGCTTCTCAGAAAATTAAACCCATACACATAAGCATTTAACAGAAATATATTGTAATTTCATAAAACCTGCAAAATTAAAATGCATATTCTACTATCTTCAGTAGGGTTAAACTGGTGTTAAGCAAGTTAATGTCTTAGATTCCAAAATCCCAGCATAATAAAAGTATTTTACCTGCCTTTGAAAGCAAAGGATACAACTATCAAGACAGGCCACATAGGGGTTGGGATTGCTTTCAGCAAATAAATTGCAATGGAGAATAGTCCTAGCAGATAAGGACTGAGGCTGCTCAGAATTCTCAAGCAGCTAGTCTGTGTATTGAAGCAATCACTCTGAAGAGTGGACCAGACTACTTAGGGCTTTCAAGGTAAGGACCATTAGTTTGAACTGTAACCTGTGAAAGTTCTTACATGCAATCTGTGACTGATCCTGGTCAGTAGCAGGGTATTGTAGAACTGAACCATATAATGCTTTTGAATTGTTTTCAAGGACAGCCTCCCACACAAAACATATCTTATGGGAGTACTCTATCGTTGCAGTTAGTGAAGTACACATGACAGTTGCCAAGGCTCTTTGAGCTGTTTTTATTAAACTTACCCTTTTTTGTATAGGAGTTTGATTTTTGCAGAAGAAATACTCCTATTAAGTCAAACATGCTTCACCTTGTTAAGCTAAGTTTGGAACGCTGTCTGAAAGTAGGCCTGTCCAATTATATTGGAATTTATTGCTAGTTCGTAGCCACAAAATATGCAGATGAGATTATGCCTAGAAATGTCATTGACTGGTCAAATTCAAGCTGCACAATAGAATCCTTGAATAACCTTGGCCTCAAACTGGTGGTAGTGATTAATGAAATACCATCTACATTTGATTTCGTGATGTGGCACAGCAAACATAACTAAGTCATGCTTGTATTTAACTTCAGTGCTAACTATAGAAAGGAGTGCAGTTAGTGACCTTCTTATGTTGCCACCAAACACATTGTTTGCTTTCAGTCATGAACTTGAATGTGTTTGTACTTTTCCATTTGTTTTCAGATCTAACTGTAAAACTACAAAGGCAAAGAACTAGCCATTTGATAACAAGCAATGGGTAAGTGTATTTATTATTAAATTAACCCTTCACAAGTACCGTTGCTTTGTAAGCACATTCCACATCATATCACAGAAGCATGCTTTTAATTTTGACTACATTTTTCCTGTAGTGATTACTGAGATTTCAGAACATTGTGTACTTATGTATGAAAGTACAATGCCTTTTGCGGGATACCTCTTAGGCTTCAATGTCTGTAATATATGATATGATGGAACTTCTATAATGCCACATAGTTCAGGTTTTTGCATCACACTAGAAGTCTTTTACAAAATATTAATTCAAATATATATATTAACATATGGAGGATTCCACCAGTTCTTCTTGTCAAGTCATCTTCAACTTATGGCAACCTTATGAATGAATGCCTTCCAGAATATTCTATACTGGATAGCCCCAGAAATGAGCATGAAGGAATAAGGGAAGAAACAGGTTAAAACATGTGTCAGAGTCAATGGACAGAGTGGTGAAATTTAATATATTAATGACTAGCTTCTTTAAAAATGAGCTTCTAGTTCTGAAGTATTTTATATGTCCATATCTAATACACCTATTCCAAAAAGCTATTTTATATAACTAAGGTACTAGCTATTTGCAACTGCTGTTACTTTCAGTCTACAGTGCTTAAATAAACAAAATGTTCCCTTGTTTCTCGTTGTGTTAGTACTATTGCATTTTACATAGGTGGGAAGGAGTCTTCCTGATGTGTGTTCGCATTTTTCAAAGATTTCAGATTAAAAGAAAAAGATGCTGAGCAACTTGGAGATAAAACGTTTTTAGAGCTCTTTGAATATCTGCTTCCTACGTTGGTCTTCCTAGCATCCTGCATTTCTTGGTTAATTTTTGTAGTATTATATATTAGTTTCTATTCATAAGTCTTCTATAAGACATACATTGAATTAGCATAATTGTGTTTCATAGATGGAGAAGAGAAAACATACGGTGGTTGTGAAGGCCCCGATGCAATGTATGTGAAGTTGATATCCTCTGATGGTCATGAGTTCATTGTTAAACGAGAGCATGCACTCACATCAGGAACAATAAAAGCTATGTTGAGTGGTCCCGGTAGGTACAGCAAATTGTATCTGTAAATCTTCATTTTGGATTTCATGGTAATTTTTTATGCATTGTAATGATCTACTTTCTGGAGTGATCTATTTGAACCACTTTTCCAGCTTGTTCATTATTGAACAAGCCAGGTTGTAGGTTTTTGCATTTTCATTTGTTAATGATAATGTGTCTGAACTATTAGGAATGCATGAATCCATACAGCTCTTTACCCTTAACATATTTTTGAATTTAGGGCAAGTTGAAATACTTCCATTTGAGTACTAGAAATTAGTATCTTATAGTGAAGATTAGAGTCTGTCTTATATAATTCAGTCTTACTGCCTGCAGGATAGTGTGGATAAAAATCAGTGATTTAAGAAAAAATGAATTTTTAAAATTTAAATCAGATTTTTAATTTAAATTGTTTTTTAAATAAAATGTTTTTTGAGGAAGTTTTCTATTTAAAATACATTATAGTCCCAAAGTTATTTGTCATGAAATAAGGATTAGTTTTTGGTTATGTAACATGAGGCCGTATATTCATACAATGTTTACATTTTTGATAAATGGATTCCATTGTTCCATTCACAATGTCATGCTCTTCCAGAGGATTTTGTAAGATTATTGGGAATCTTCCTATCTAGAAAATATCACAGATGCTTGGTGTTACAGTTCTCAGAACTATGAATTTGTGTCTACAGAGATCACATGCTGTGATTTTTCTGCACAGCAAAAATCTCATTATTCCTTTGCAAATCTATGTACACAGAATCTACACTTTACCTCTTAAGTGTGAAGGTAGTGAGCTCTGGGATATGAATGTTCAGTGGTTTGTCCAGGAGAAGTTCCTGTTTGTATTAATGAGAAGCTCAGGTGTATGTACATCTCAAATGTATCTTCATAACTTTGTTGCTGAATCTGATCTTCAAACAGGATTATATTTCTGGGTTAGTGAAATTGATTTAATCTCAAAAGTTATTTCTTCAAAAACAGCAAATGCAATATGAAAGAACCACTATAAATATATTTATACATTCAAAACAAGGTAGTAAAATGGCTTTTTAAATCAAGCATACATTATTTGCAGAAGAGATTATTTGGGAATTATAGCATAATAGTGTCTCATTTGAAAATTATGAGCATGGACATTTTGGCTGCCTATAAATTATATCATAAATTATATAATATGCATGCCTGAACTTTTTGATAAGAGTTGAGTGTTAATAGAATTCCATCTCTAAATCAACAACTTTTAAACTATGATTGGGCATATGGGTTTCATTCAGTGTAATGCAAGAAGATTTCTCCTTCTCCCCAGAGAGACACTGCCATTTCAGCTTCTGTTTACAGCTGGATCATGTTCAAGATTTGAAGTATTTTCACTTTATTATCAACCCTAATTGTACCATGTCAAATAGAAGCTGTGATAAGAACTGGTTCAACAGAGTAAATATTGAAAAAATTTCAAGGAGACCACATTTATTTTGTCTGCAAAGCTAAAGCTAAAAATTGAAAGCACAAAGGAGATAAAACACTTGAATATTTTAAATTCAAGCAGCAAAGGACTCTCAAGCTGTATCTGCAATTCTGTTGCTTACTTTCAATAGTACTTGCACACTTAATATGTATTTCTTTTTTATGTACACAGGACAATTTGCAGAAAATGAAACAAATGAAGTCAATTTTAGAGAGATTCCTTCTCACGTCCTATCCAAAGTATGCATGTATTTCACCTACAAGGTTCGCTACACTAACAGCTCCACAGAGATTCCTGAATTTCCAATTGCCCCTGAAATTGCACTGGAACTGCTGATGGCTGCAAACTTCTTAGATTGCTAAATAAAATAAATTATAATAAAAATGTAAACCTCACCTCTGTATTTAATGCTAGTAGTTCTGTTAGTAACTATTTCTTAGATGTTCTGTATGTTTAAGAAGTATAATGACCATTGCAGAGGCTGTTACCCACAGTGCTTTTGCATCGGAATCATTTGTGCTTCAATCTTGTTTTGCTGCTTACACAAATAATGGACCGACAAATAAACTTGTCAAATAACTGATGACTTAAGCTTATAGTGACAACAGAGTTCTGTTTTTAATGCTGTGAATCCACTGAAATTAGATAAGTGTTTTCCAAGAGTAGGTCACAGCTAAAGTTGCAGTCCTATAAGCATTTATCTGGGATTAAGTCATACTGAATAAATGGGACTTCTAGACACATACATATAGGTTTGTATTTTAAGTCTTTTTTTTAAAGGTCTTCGGGTTTTGTTTTTTGGTTGTATCTTAAATTCTCTAGATTTTCGCACTATGCTGATAAAATTGATTCACCTGACAGTTGTTCTAGGGAGTGTTGCATAGTTGTAACAAATATTAGTAGCAGTGTTCTTGCACTGTAATTTGCTTGAATATTCATCGTATTAATAGGCATTATTATATTTATCTAGTGTTCTACCTTAGCTTTTTTTACAATTTCAAGTCTGAACTGAAATTACCATTTTTCAGTTCATTGGCAGGGGTTGTATAAAGGGCAGATTTGAATAGTTTTATATCACTTATGGAAGCAACTAGATTTCCATGTATCCATTAACAGAACTAAGTATGAATATTTGACAACTTACCTGTGGTCATATCTTTGAAACTCAAGTTTCATTTTAGATGTGATTGCCGGTATGATTTGCTCATTAGTGAAGTAAATGTTGTGTCTTTGTTCATGATGGATTCTCTTTTCTGCAACACTTAAAACAGTAACATCCAAAATGTTATGGTTGCAGATAGTCCTTTACAGCAGTGGTTTTCAACCTTTCCACAGCTGGGGACCAGTGAAAACAGGAAAACCACCTCGGGAACTGCTGAGGCAGAAACAAAAAGCACCATATGCACAATACAGTTTTCTGTGTATTACTTTCTGAACACAATACCAAAAAAAAAGAAAATTCTCCAAAACAACCAGAAACCAAGCAACAAAAAACACCAACAAAAGAAAAAAAATGCAAAAATCAGCACAGTGTAGCTCCCAGCTGGCTCCCAATGAGCCGTCTGCCCCCTCCCCGGCAGCACTGGCACACCCCTATGAACACGATGCCAACCAAGTAATAGGTGGTGGACCATAGCTTATGCTGGTCCGAGGCAAGTGGGATGCAGCCCCCCATGAACTGGTAGGAAATCTGTGGACCGGCGCTAGTTGGCAGACTGGTAGTTGAAAATCATTGCTTTACAAAGCTTTAGAAAGTATGAAAATGATACTGTGTGAAGAATAATTGCCATATCTGTCAGCCAACTTACCTAAGGTTTTTCTAAAAAGGATTGTATAAGCTGCTATTCAAGGCAGGTGGACATTTATACTGTTCAAGCCATTAATCACACAAAATGTTTAAATATATTAAAAACTAACTAGCAGAATGTACTTGTTGAGGTTTTAATTCATCCATACATTAAATTAAGAAATGCCTTTTCTGATATGAAATGAACATTTCCCATTTTTCACATTTTATGGTGCAGCCAAGAATCCACCCTTTCAAGCTCACTTTTAGCCATTGACATGCAGCTTAAGATCAGATATCACTGACAAAAGATGGTCTAGTCTAAGGGAAAATAAATGAAATGTTTTTATGTTTGATGGGAATTATGTTGAAACTTACTCTGTTGTTTGTGGCCTAATTTTGGAATGAATTTAGTCATGAGTTTCAAAATTGATACATTAAAAGGATTTTTTAAATTGATAGCCTTAGGCCTCTGGGCAGTAAAACAAATTGATGGCATTTACACATGGATAAATCTTGAATGTTGTGCTGATTTTTATTTTTTTCATTTTTTACTATGGCAGTACCTACTTAAATTAGGCCAAATGCTGGCAGGAAAGTATAGAGCTGCAAGCCTAAGTAACAGAGCATCAACCTAGAACAAGCTAAACTAAACAAGGATATGATGTCCTATGGATAGCTGTGTAATGATCTCATGGGATGCAACCTCTGTTTCCAGTTGTATTAGTATTAGACACCTATGTAAGGGAAGTCATGACCTTCCCTTCTGGTTGTGCTATACCTAAAATTGAGGTGGTGTTTCTAGTGAAGGCAAGATATAGAGTCCAGCTACCAAAGGCATCAGTTCCTGGCTCTCACATGCTCAAACGACAGTGGATGGGGTATAGGGAAGTCTTCAACAGCAGGAACCAAATATCTGAAATATACCCTTTGGCATGGCAAAGGGAGATGGGGTCATTGACTTAATATTCTGCATGAACATAGTACAAATTTGGAGAAAACTGCTGAAATACAATCTACTGTAAGGTACAATATGGGCTAGACCCTGCTGTGCATAAAATACATATTTGTTCTAGGAAGGGATTGCCTCTATCAAGGCAATTCCTTAGGGTGGTTGTTTAAGGCAGTAGAGCCGTTCTATTCATCTTCAGCATGGACTTGAGGACTTCAGCATGGAGTCTGAAGCTGTTTGCTACATGAGTGTTCATAGCAACAAGGCTCCCCATATATCTTCCTATCCAGGTGCTTTCTGTCCCTAGTCCTGTTAAGCTTTTCAGATGAGATTACCTTTGTTTGGGGTTCTCACTGCATGCCACCATGTAACTGGGTTTTCTGTCTAACTGAAAACAAATCTTTCATAAATTTTTATGTTCTTGCATAAAAGGTACACAAGGTTGAAATTATGCTGAAAATTTAAAGTTAAAAATACTGAACTTCAAAAACTGACAAAGCATTACAAAGCATGCATGTAATTATAGAATCATAGAATATTAGAGGTGGAAAGGGCCGTCAGGTCCTGTTGCAGGACACCAATTTACACCATCCCACTCAAATGACTGTCCAGTTTCTTTTTGAATGTTTCAAGTATGGAAGAGCCCATGACCTCTCTAGGCAACTGGTTCTACTGCCATATTGCTCTGACAGTGAGGAAACTTCCTGATACCTAGCTTTAATCTGGGTTGTTGCACTTTGAACTGGTTATTCCATGTCCTACACTCTAGTATGTGCATGTTCAATTTTACTTTCTCCCAAGTGTCATAAGTTTGCAACATTATAGTATAGCCCTATATATGTTTACTTGAATTTAAAGGGAGCTAAATCCAAGGTATATGGGTGAAGGTTTTCATACTAAGGCTGGAAATGATCCTTACTGAATATCAGCTAGCTTCCAATATTCAATAATCGAGTCATAAGGGCATTGTTTTCATGCTTAGTAAAACTTGGTTAAATGGGGCTTTAAAGCAAATCTGCTTCTGAGTGTAGGGTATGTAGCCTTTCTGCATCCCCAAGCCATAGGAATCCTGCCTTGAGTACTTTGGATGTGCTTGGCAATTCATTCAAATACAATTGAACCAAATGAACTCTCAGGAGTTTAGATCTACACCACAGGGCTGTTAAGCAATAATTTTAAAAAATGTCATGTGCTTACCTGCAGAAGCAGAGTGACTTGCTTCAAATGATACTTGGATCTTTGAGAAATAGTTTACTTTTTGACTTGAGGTTTCCATTTTTGTCTGCTAAACAAAGGAAAATTGAGGTGAAAGGTGTATGAGATGGCAAGAAGATTCATATACAAAGTCATTTGTGAACAAATTCAATGTCAAACTTACAAGATATAGATTTGGCAGCCAAGATTATTTCGTTTTAGAAGTTAATGTTTCTTTTTTGCAAAAAAAAAAAAAACACTGATAAAAGAATTCCTTTCAGCAGTGCTAAACTGCATCTTTTACTATAAGGATCTTTACGAATTGAATTTTTCCCATCTCTTCTCCCTGCATCCCCATCACCTAAAGCCTCTCTGGAGTATGTGCATGGGGTTCCTGGGGAAGGAGCAATTACCGTATTTTTCGCTCTATAAGACGTACCTGACCATAAGACACACCTAGTTTTTAGAGGAGGGATCCATGGAAAGCTTCCTGATAATCACAGGCACATTCCCCATCACTTCCCCATGGGCTTCATTAAAAGACGGGTTGCCATTTGAAAACACACACCGACCTGTGATTAACAGCTCTCACCTGCGCCGGAGGAGGGGGGCGGAGCAGGGTGCACCGAGCTCGTGCCAGCCAGGTGTGGTGCAGCCGGGCTGGCAGCATGCTGGCAGTGGTCTTCCAGGTGGCATGGCAGTGCCGGCAGGTCTTCCTGGGCGGTGGGGGTGAGCAGTCTGTCTCTCCGTGCGGCCAGCGAGTTAAAGCCCATGGCTCCTTCTCCTCTGCAGCAGGTCTTCCCTGAGCGGCACAGCTCTCACCTGCCCCGTTGGGGGGGGGGGCAGAGCAGCACGCGCCAAGCGTGTGCCGGCCAGGTGGTGCCACATGGTGCAGGTGGGCCGGCAGCATCCCGGGCGTCGGGCACACACACATTCACTCTATAAGACGCACAGACATTTCCCCTTACTTTTGAGTGGGGAAAAAGTGTGTCTTACAGAGTGAAAAATACGGTGCTCAAAATCAGGCTGGGTCACAATCTTACTCATGTTTAGACATGCTGACTAGGAAATGCTGGGAGCTGTAAAACTTTTTCTGAGTTTGCACCCTTAAGGATATTAATTAACCATTTTCCTCCAGTAGCCTGGTACACCCCATCCTACATTATTCAAGAGATCTTTCAGCTCCCAAGAAAAGCTTTGGGAAGCACATGACTGAAAGGGAAAGGAAGGAATGTGAAACCTTCTCAAGTTTACTTCTCTTGAGATTCAAGTCACTGAAATGAAAGGAACACAGACAGAATTTGTATTATATCTTAAAAATACATTCATTGTAAATATATAATTGTAATTAAAATATAATTGATCATAATGGCTGTTTTCTTTTCCAATACGGAATTTCCATTGTACATAACAGCCTGCTCTGATCTGGTTTTACACAGAACCTACTGAATTTCAATGTAGCAAACCGCCATGTTTACTTAGAACTGCTGCCATGCTGCCCCTTGCTGTGTTTGTTTGTTTATTCAGTTCAGCAGTCTGAGGTTTACTCCTATGTAAGCATTCATAGAGAAACGTGCTTCAGTAAGCAGTCTATGGTTAGCTTTTTGAGTCAACATCTTTAGGTTCATATTAAATGGCTATGAAATCCTAAGCAGTTTTGCTTGGAAGGAAGTTCCACTGAACCAATCACAAAACTATAGAAAAATAACTGATGTGATTTTAGTAATTACTTGCTTTTAATAAACATATATTGAAGCTGAAGAATATTTTGAAAACTAGAGAAAGAGATTTCTTGGCATTGATGCTGGGTTGTTGTATAAGGCCAAGGAAGATCCCATTAATTCAAGGGTGGGTAGATCTACTTTAGATATTGTTCTACCAGCCAAGGCTAGGTACAAAATAGTGTTTTCAGCAGATAGATGTTAAGAATGAAGGAATGCATGCTTAGCCAACAAATTTTGATTGCTACCAGATTAACTTTTGACACAAAAATCTTCTGTTTTTTCACCAAGCATATTTTTTCACCAACCTAATTTAGGAAGTGGTGTTACTTTTTAGTTGCTATTGTTAGGACAAGTGGGATTTAAAAGCCCATATCAACCCCAGCTTTAATATACAGGAACATTTAGCAACAACATATCTTAAACCAGTTTTTAAAAGTGTTAAACGCATTCTGGTGACATATTAATGTACAAACTAAGAAACCACATCTGGTTGACTTATACTATAAAACCAAACAGTGTAGAAAAGTTTAAAAAAGGAAATGAGGTTTAGGGTGCAGTCTTATTTATGTATACACAAGAAAATATCCTGTAACACCCATCATTCCCCAGCCAGTATGGCTGGATGCTGATGGTGGCTGTGGAATGGTAGGAGTTGCAGGACTTATTTCTAAACATGCATGTCTAAACATGCATGAATGTGCCATCATTTTGTATTCCGAAACAAAAACAGAGGTGCTGTGCTTGATAACTGTTGGTCCAAAACTTGTGATAACTCAGTGGTTACAATGTTGTGCACACTTATTGAACATAGTGGAACTTAGCTAAAGGTACAGTGGTTGACAATTGCAAGTGCCTTACTTAAATGGGAGTTGTCATGTTTTTTTTCACAGATATGGCAGGTTCAATACACTTGACTGTTTTGAGTGAAAATGCGTATTTGGGGCTGATAATTGGAAAAATTCATAAAAGAATGCCTCTCGTTGCAATAGTTGTGATTTGATGTGGCCATACCGTGATGTGGGAGTGAATGAGAAACAACTCCTCAGTTCCTTATATATGCATGAGCTCTCACGGTTAAATAGTTGCATGGTGCGGTCCTAAGCATGTTTATATTAACTCAGCAAATCTGAGTTCCCTAGGCGTTCAGCGTAACCAATTTATCAAATGTGCTTACATTTCAGCTATGCATGTTTTCTCAAAGTTAACTCAACCCCTTTCAGTGGGACACAGTTCTATGTGTATATGTGCATACTTACTGAGGAACAAGTTTCATTTAGTTCAGTGTACTTGAGTAAACGAACATGAATTATGGCTTCATGGCAATAGTCCTAAATATGCATGGTTACTAGCTCCATTGAACTCTGTAGGCTAGGTCAGAGATGTGCCTTCTAGTACTTGTTGGACTGCAACACTCATCAGCCCTCACCATCAACTATGCTGACTAGGACTGGTGGAATTTGCACTCTAGCAACATCAAGAGCATCCCATGCTCTCCACCCTTGGTCTAGCTATGTATTTGCATTATCCAGGCATACATTCAGCTGAAGTTATGTACTTAAAGAGAAATAGGCCGATTGGGCAGAATCAGGTGCTTGAAAATGATGGGACTTTCTTCTAAATAAACACAAAACCCTGCTGCATTACAGCAATGGTCCATCACTTCAAGACCGTGTATCCGACAACGATGAGATGCTACAGGGAGCCACTAATTAGCAAGAAAGGACTTGACTACAGTATACATTTCCTGTACATATTTCACCTCTATTTCGACCTCATGAGCATCTGGTTGAGATGCATGCAAAGCTATGTTTTCGAAGCTTGTCTTTTAATGTGCAATGTACATACTCAGTGCTCAGGGACTTATTTGGTCACAAGTGTTTGTCAACAATGACTTCACTATCCAATAAAAGGCTAAGGTTACAGCTGTCAATCTGAATGTGTTACTTGTTTCCTCTAAATCCACTACCTTCGCCTTAAAGATGTTGCAAGATTTCTGTAAGGAAACTTTTAAGGACGTAAAAAGAAAAGGAACTCAACGACTACAAGAGTTGGTTTAAAATAATAATAATAAATGTAAAACCAATTGGAACTCTATTTGATGGGAATGCGGGATTTTAAAAAATGCAGACAGCTGCACACAGTAGCGTGAATGCCATTCCAGGAAGCCTACCGTACGGTAGCTGCGCTTCTCAAAGAAAAAGCGAAACGGAGGCTCAGAATTGCCGAAGCTCGCTTGGAATCGTGCCCTCTACACTGAGCAAATCCCTCGGACGCATGCGCGTCTCGTCTGGAGGGCCAGCGCTCCCACGTGACCAGGACAGTGGGCGGAGAGAGAGGAGACGGAAGGGTGCCGGCGCCGCCGCCGCCGCCGCCGCCGCGCTGCGTCTCTCCCTGTCCCGGCCGGCGACGCAGAAAGGGACGGGGGAGTGGGGAGGCGGATCCATCATGGCGTCTATGCAGGTGAGCAGCCTGCGGCGTGGCTTGGATGGCGTGTCCTTTCATCCTCCCAGGTGGCTCTGTTTCGACCGGGCTTGGACGAGGAGGGGAGGGAGACGACGGCGCGACGACGGGAGGGAAGAGCGACGCTCCAGCTGCTGCTGCTGCTGCTGCTATCGGGCAGCGAGCAGGGGTTGGTGACGGTTGGAGTCAGGGCGCTTCCTCTCTGCGCTGGTGTCTGGATGCGGCTCGGGGAGAGGACAGTTGACGCTGTCGGGTCTGCCGCGCCCGCGGCCGCAGAGAAGGAGCGGAAGGGGGCCGCGGTGAGAGGAGCGTTTGCTGCTCAGAGACGGGGAGAGAGGGAATGGGAGAGGCCGGGCGAAAACCCTTCCTCACTCGACTGCCCAAGGAAGAGAGGACAGATGAGGCCAAAGCTCTTTCCACGGGCGAGGCAGCGAATCAGGCAGGAAAGAGGGCTGAGAGAGGCTGTTCTGTTGGGCTTGAATCAGGAAGAAGAGCAGGTGCGTGGCGTCCGCGGCTCTTCCCTAGGTGTGGCTCTGGCCCTGGGCACGGCTTGGCCTGGGTTGCTTGGCTGTGGATGTGGGCAGAGACGCTGCCTGGGCCTGCTTGCCATGACAGGCTTGTTTGTACACTGGTGACTTCAGCTGTGTGTGTGTTTTCTTTTCATAACTCGTTTTCTCTGCAACTTCTTTTTTCTTTTCGGTCCTATTTTCCATGTAGGGTATATGTGTGAGTGTGAGAAAGCATTTAGGAACAAGGGGAGTGTGTGTGTGTGGGGGGGGGGCTCACTCAACCTTAGGAAGTCTGGAAAGGCATCTCAGTGTCCCCCCCCCCCCCATTCTTTCAAATGTTGGTCATGGTGTTTTATTTTAGTGAGACTGACAATAGCTGTGTAGCCTCTGTCACTGTTTCAGGACAGCCTTTCTCTGTAAGATGCTTTGGAGTTTTGCTTATCGTCCGTGGTCTCCTGTATCAGGTATGGGAAAACTTCAGGCTTGTGGAATCTACTGTTCTTCTTACTAGAACCTCATAGTCCAGCAGCTGATACAAACAGGATGGAGCTAGGCTCAGAATGACAGCTGTATCTCACTCACTGTGCCATATTGGGATGGGATCACCTTTGTATACAAGTTCAGATCTACATGCAAATAACTACTGATCTGGGATTCTCTCCGCATAACATTTTTGTGGTAGTGGTGTGAGAGGATCCTTTAGTTTTGTTATGAGTAGTTAAAACTCATTTTGGACCTCCTGCAATTTGCTGCAAATTATCCAGTAATCTACTGATAGATTCTGGTCTGTCTTCTGCTCACCATGTGCTAGACCATAGAATGAGAATGGGCTTTGAAACTGGTTAAGATTCCAATTCCAATCTTACCTTAGCAAATACTCCCCAATTTGTTCTATCCCATACTTCTCTACCTAGTAAAGATTATTAATATAATGTATGTAAAGCAAATCAAGAAAAGTATTCTATAAATACTTTTAATAGAACATTTAATAGAAATATTATGAATAAATGAGATTCATCTACTGTATCTCATGGTCTATTTTAAACAGATTTTTGGCATGCAGATCAGGTATACATGTCACCATTTCAGTTAGCATGTGCATCATCCTATAAGAGGGTCTTGCCTGGTGCATGCCACAGCATGTACTTAGTTTTAAGGTATCACAGAAGTTCTCATAGGTTTTAAAATCAACAATTTATGTTATTCTGACTTCAATTTTTTAACATTAATTTTAAGTTAAAGTACCATAAAACAAGTTACATACTCAACCAAATAGGATATTTATAAGGCAGCTTTATGCTAATAGTGTTTATACAAATTAAAATAAAAATTATGAAATATTGTCAAAACCCCTACAAATACATGGAATCCACCATGGACTTCATTACTTTTCTGTAACTTATGTTGGATTTGATCAACAGGACAACTGACTGTAGTTTAGGTAAACCATGGGATGGCGTGGTATGTGTTGACTGCCATTATAAATGTGCAAACCCAGCAGGAGTCTGTTGTGGCTTGTCATGTTGTCCAAACTAAAGCAGCAGAGGATGAGGATTTGAGGATTAAGCAATCCTTCATAGAGCCCTGAAAGATACCATGTTTAATCCTTAAATAATTCTTGTCACCTGGGTTCAGACACTCTGACAGCCACTATGTATCTTGGCCAGTGTTATATATTCGAAACGGTAGCCTTCACATACTTTATTCATATCATACAAACTAGCCCAGAACGCAAAGACAACATGAAAATATTTGTGTTCTTTTAATATAGAGGTGCACAACCTTTTGAACCCAAGGATTAAACAAGATGCTGGTTTCAAGGTCAGGCACCATAAATGGAAGCATACATGCTTAACACATCCAAGGGATCTTGGTAAAGAACATTATTTCCTTGCTACCAACAGTGATGGCAAAACATGATTGATATAAGGATAACTAAGGGATGACATGAAAGCCTTCACTTCAATTTTCATCCATGATTCTGATATGATTTTTTTTCTTTTCTTGCTGGCATAAGCAAATAAAAGTTATTTGTAAAAAGATTGCTGGGGAAGGGAACCATATGGATGGTCAGGATACCTTTGGGGTGCACAAACCTTTGGGGTGAGTATCATGCACACCTTGGGGTTTGCAATAGTCATCCCTTATTTAAAGCAAAACTGAATAAAACATAAAAGCATATATCTAGCAGTTTTGAAGAGCTTGATGGGCAGAAGACTAAGAAACTTGTTTATCTCCAATTTGACTATCCGTTTTGGTTTTATTTAATGTACTGACATTTTAGAAGAGAACTTAATAAAATTGCATTGAAACAGTGGGGAGAAGTTGCTTTTAAAATCCACAAATATGGCATTGACTTGTGGAACACGGAAAACAGTTAAACACAAACAAATACATTTAGGATTTTTATTTTTTCTCTGTTATTAGGCTTCTTCTAACTTTTATTTAGTTGTTTAGTTCCTAGTTTTTACACTACAATATGGTCCCAGTTCACTGGGGCATGCTACTTAGTACATATGGAAAGGATTGCACTGTTAGATAATAGGCAGATTCTCAGGTATTGCTGCAATACCTCTGAAAGAACCTTTTAATCAGGATATAAGTTGTGTTGCAGTTGTTTTAATTTCTTTATCTGGTTATTGGTAACATTCTGGCATTGGTAGAAACCATTGTATTTTTTATTTCTCACTGTAGGTACTATTCTGCCAAAGGTACTTATTAAACTTTCAGATACTATGTTAGGAGGCCATTTTTCCCTGGGCAATTTGAAAAGAGAATCAAGGGAATGGATTAAATACTGTTATTTCCAGTATGTGTATTTGTATAACATGATGGAGCACACTTGACTACTTGGGATAGAAATTCTATTCAGTGAAAATTCATCGGATGACATATTCTAACGATTGCAAATTTGAAATTTTGATATTTAGTAACAATGAATTCCACAAAGAAGGATCATCAGTACAAGTTGCATACTTTACAGTATTCTACATTTTGTTGAAAGAGTATTATGTCACCTTAAATGTGAATGTATTTGTCATAAGCTTTCATGGAGTATAATCTACTTCAACAGATGTAGGAAGTGTTATTGAGAATTTCATGTTTATATAAAGTACATATGGTATGTGTTTGTGGTGGCGGGGCAAGAATTGTAAACAGAACATTAAATCAAAAAGTACTGGGAGTCCCAGCATAACACAGTTGCATAACACAAGCATGCTGGTACTGGATATTAAAATCAGGCATTCTGCATACTAAAATATCACACACACATATATATATAAAATAACAGATTGATGAAACCATAGTGGTCCCCAGGAAATGAAAGGGGAAACATAACTCTGGTTGATATTACTAAACCACCTAAAGCCACTCAAACATATCTGTTTTCTACATCCCATCCTAGACAATGCTTTCCATGCCAGTGCCCTGGACCAGAAGGCTTATACTTGTTAACAGACAGCCTCATAACCTAAAGCAGCTGCTCAGTAGTGCAGCAGGTCCTGTAGGCAAGGTGCAAACACAGAGACCAGATCCTGGAACAGAGCCAGATGCTAGTTCTGTTTCCATATCTACTCTGACAACACTATTACAGGAGCTTATCCTATCATACACAACAGTAGGAATTCATTCATTTGCCCTTCTAATGTGATATGTCAGCAATACCTTTCTGCATCCTACATGCAGAAAAACAGGACAAACTCTGTGAACAATAATAGTGGATGCAAATCTGGCATCAGAAATGGCAACAGTCAAAAATTAGTAGGAAAATACTGTTGTTTTGACATTAAAGTGGTCATTGTGGAGCAAAAAAAACCAAAAGCAAACTTATTTTTAAAGGAGATTAGAGAAAGCAAAAGTTAAGAGTTCATCTACAAGTTCTTTTTCATTGCTAGAAGCTACAGCTGGGATAAATGATGTATCATAATACATGTGTTGATTAGTTTGTCTAGTATCAGAGAATTTATTATCAGCAGCACTGTTGGTGAAAGACCATTTTCCAGTACTTTTTGCATTTAATTTCCTTATGCCTTCACCATTTATAATTCCCCCTTTCCCAGCAATACCACCACAACCACACTATATGGTATATGTAAACCTGAAACTCTGAATCACACTTCACACGTCTGATGAAGTGGATTATAGACTTCAGAAGTAAGTATGATTACAGAAGCTGCCCTTACTTTTTTCCTGCAACCACCACCACCACCACCACCACCACCTAGCTAACTAGGCTATTCCTTTGGAAATTGCCAGATTTTTATGATAGTGTACCAATTTACTATCTAGAAGAGGGTGAAACATTTTTTAAATGAATTACATGAATTAATTGCACTAAGAAAATGTAACGCTTGAAGATTAAAACAGAACAGTTTAATAAGAGTGCTAGCTTGTTTCATAATCTATTTTACTACTTCTAGCAATAAAAGATACATTTTAAAGAAGAAATAGGCTCATTTTAGAGCAGTGGAGAACATGAGTACATCAGAACAAATTGTCACTGAGACAGACAACCTGCTAGATGGCCTAGGACAAATAATCTGATGGCTTTAATTATCATAAAATATCTGATGTATATGTTCTTAACAAACATTACTACTGGGAAATAGATTACAATATTATCAACTATGTCAAAGACTAGTATGGTTGTAGGCCTTTTTGTGTGTGATGTTGATGTAGTTTAGGGTTAGAATACAAAGTTTAATCCATTCTTGAAAGAAAACAGTAATAATTCCTAGATTTACTTAGGCTTCTGAAATTAGTCCTGGTACTTTGGGAAACTGTGCTCTTCTGGAATGGGAATAAGTTCCTGTGTACTTTTTTGTGTTCATGAAACAGGTTGGAAGATTTTGCCTCAAAGTTTAAACAAACCCCAGTTTCTTGTGACACCTAAACTTGGTATACATAATGATTAGTGAAGAAAAGCTAGGTCAGTATTTTCAGATCATGAATTGTTCTGAAACCATAATTTAATGAATCACATTTTTCTGACTTTGGCTACAACAAAAAAGTATCTGATTAAAATGGGAAGTGATTGCTTTTAATCTACAGAAGCATGAAAGAGGACGAATCACAGTGAATGATTTTATCAGGGTTCTCCAAGCCCAGAAAGCCTCTCCAACATTTTTTGAATTTTTTTTTCAATACCCTATTGATTAGACATGTAGGGGATAGGGGGCCAAGTTGGGGGCCTAGTCTGAGGTTCTTCACCTGGAATATAAATTATGTAAAAATATGCTGATACATCACAGTTATATTTTCGTACCTTTGAAGATGCACAGATATCTTTAAATGTATGTTTAATTTGACCCTAACATGAACAGAATAATCACGTGTCCAGTTATAGTGAATGGTTAATATTCCAGCTCATGTTAGTGACCTTTTTTTATAACCTTGGCTATGCAAAACTCTGGTGGTGGCTTAGATTTCATTGTTTTTCCCATAATTTCCTAGTATGAGACAGATCAAGGACATTGCCTGTGAATAATGCTTTCCTGCTGCTTTAGGTTTTCTGTACTTTTAAGTTATGCTGAAACACTAGTATTTATGAACTTGTCTTGCATCTCTCTCATTCCCTTCCTCTCTCACCTACTCTTTTTTGGTTGCCTCATACTTCTAGATTTCTGTACCATTGAATGACTGCTTTTGCACAATGAACTAAGGCACTCTGAGAATAAGCTAGTGTGGGTTTTTCACAGAACATCCCATGGTACACCCAACAGATGATTTGACTTAATGTGGCTTGCTTCTTTTTCCCCACCCCAATCATTATCCCTTTTTATTTGGTACTATTTTTTCCTGGCATGTCAGAAGAGCATGACTGGGAGTAGTCTTCAAAAATTGCCCATAACTGTGTGTTCATGATGTTCATTTTGTTGTTTTTTCAGAACAGCAATCTTATAACTGTCCTATGTGTAATCTTTTGGTCAATTACTTTGTATGTTTCCTCAAAGTAGAGTAAGTGTATCCATGGAAGATGACAAGACAAGGCTGTGTATAAAGTAATTGTGCACAACTGTCAGGGTCTGATTGCCTGGTTTTCAATTGAAAGATATTGCTAAAGGTGAAAAAATATGATACAAATAATGTTAGAGGGAGATTAAATTAATAAAGGTTTTAACTTAACACATGAATGCTCAGTGGATGTCCATCAGGGTTACTTTTTATAAAATACCACAACACTGTATCAAAAGAAACATTAAAAATTACACCTGGATAGCTATGCCTTTATCTAGATATGGATAGCCTGTGTTCAGTAATCTTCTATTTGCAGCCTCTAAATCAGATTACTGTAATGCACTCTACATGGAGCTGCCCTTGAAGACAGAAGCTGCAGACCATGCAGAATACAGCAGCATGATCAGTAATTGGAACCTGTACGCCCAAACACACAAGGCCAGTTTTGGCCCACTTGCTTTAGTTGCCGGCATGCTTCAAGATGCTGGTCTTAATCCATAAAGACTTATATGGCTTGGGACCACAATACCTGTGGAAACACCTCTTTTTACCACAATCTAGCTGGACACTGTGCTCTGGGGCCTTCCTCCTAGTGGAAGGCTCCTCTAAGGGAAGCTCAGGGAGTGACTGGTGCCAACCTTGTCATCTTTTTTTAATGCCAAGTTAAGACTTTCTTTTATGCCAAGGATTTTAACGATATACTTAAGTTATCCATCCCATGGGAAGACTACCCATCCCAAATATTATTTTTTTACAGGGTCATTCTTCCCTGTATGTTTTAGCTCTTCTTAATTTTTAAATTTAATTAAATTTTTATCCATGTTTTAAGGTATGACCATTGTGTTTGGCAAAATTGTATGTTACCTAGCTGCAATATATAGCAAAGTGTGTGTGTGTGTGTGTGTGTGTGTATAAAATGAAATATTTTAAAAAGTGCACTGTTTTCTTTTAGAAGAGACTACAGAAAGAGCTATTGGCTTTACAGAATGATCCGCCACCAGGAATGACCTTAAATGAAAAGAGTGTACAAAATTCAATTACACAGTGAGTTTCTGTATTTTCATAATTTCTGTTCTGTGGACATGATTATTTTTTCTGGGTAATATATTGCTTACAAAAAGTAAAATATACAATGTATGAGAGAGAGATATACACACACACGGACATTAATTTTCAATGTAGCATGGCATGCTGGTATGCAACTTGTATACAGTTAACACAGTTGGCCTTGTTTTGTTACTCACGAAGTTTTCTTTAAGTGTACAGAAAGTTTAATCAATTAAGAATATTCATATTTTAAATCTAGCTTTGGAGTCATTTGGTCTGTGCATCTTGTGGTTGGGACACTGAGTATTTGTTAAAGAGTGTTACCACCTTTTCACGAAATACTAAAATAATTATACCCTACATAGCAATTATACCGTATTACATAAATGTTGCCTGTTGGTGTCCTTGTGTGTTTGCATGATCTGAAGAAAGCTGTGGGCACAATTCTCAGTACTAGATCACTGAATCAGGAACCAATGTAATGCATGGGTGGATCAGCTTTGCTGTCAGCTTCAACTGTTTTAGGCATACACATTGCTTACTTGGAGATGTGATTTAAAAGGGCATCTGTCACTTTTTATTTATTTTTGTTATTTTTAAAGGAGGCTGCCTTTGGTAGTTTTGTGACTATTTAGAGCTTTTTAGCCTAGTCTTAGTCAAAGGTGCAGTAGGATAAATGCACACAGAACACTTTAAATTATTTAATACAGACTTTCAATAAAGATAATATAGTATTTTGAATGGTTTTACTTATACACTTTCAGATTCATTTCAAGTAGCATGTACTCTAAAACAATTTCTCCTGATTTGTCCAGCATGGAGTCCATGCAGCAAATGACATGCAGCCAGAGGCCTGGGCGGGCAGGAGAGAAACACATCCTTTGTGCTATTACTGTTTTGTAGTTTTGTCAATGTCCCATGACACTTTCTCCCTTTATCCCTTTCCTACCTGCTTTCACAGTTCCACCAAAAACAGTCAGAATCACATCAATACTGTTCACTTCTTCTATTGGTGTCGGTGTTTTTCTTTCTTTTTTTGCTGGCCTCTGGTTTCTATTACTTTCTGGTGGATGGGGTGCAGAATAGGCTTGATATAATCTAAGGTAATACATAGCGAAATAATCAGAAAAACAAATAACTGTATGGGAAAAACAACATTCTTTATTTCTGATGCATCTGGGAAAACTTTTTGTAAAGGCACTTGTTTTAACAAGTAAGGAAGGTATACTCATTCTCAGTAATGGAAATGAATAGCCTTCACAGAAAAAAATTGATCACTAGTTCTGAGTAGTTTAGTAGTTCAATTTGTTCTGAATCGCATTCAGGAATAAAGGAACACCATTGATCAGATGGAGTTGTTCAGTAACTCTGCAACATGGTCACTTCACAGATTCCAAAACATAAAACTTAGTATAGAAAACATTCCAAAGCTCATCCCTGCTGAGTTTTAGCACAAATGAAGCCTTGGGCAAACGAAAATTTTCTGTGTAGCTCAGCAGGAGTGTTTTTTATATTTGTTTGTTCACAAGAAATGTGTATGGGCATGTGAGCATCAAAAGGGTACATTATATGTTCATTATCAGAAAATGGGGGGGTGACCATGAGCAACCCCCAAGGTACTGTGGCATTGTCTTAGAAGAATAGATTGTGGATCCCTACATGGAATTACAGAAGCCACTTGACAGCCAGTTCTCTTTCTCTCTTTCTCTCTCACCCACCCCTCTCTTTTTATATGTTCTGTGGAAATTATCAAATAATCTGGACTAAATGAATATAGTTGATATATGCATAAATGCATAAGAATATAAGAACAGTTCTGCTGGATCAGGCCAAACAGGTACCTAGCAGAGCATTCTGTTCCCAAAGTGGATAGCCAAATGGGAAGCCCACAAGCAGGACATGAGCACTATAACAATTTCCTATTCATGCTCTCTAGCATTTGGTACTCACAGGAAGTCATATCTTCAGTGACTTTGTCTAATACCCCTGTAAAGTCATCCAAGTTGGCATCCAAGGCAGTTTCAGGGAGGCATATGGTATGCTGGAAGAAGAAGAGAAATCTTACGTCCCTTTATACTGAATCTAGTGTTAGGGTTGTTGAAGATTTCTGTAATGTGTGTTATGTGGTATAGAGGTGAGAAAGTGAACAGAAGGGGCCCTGAGAAACACAGAGCAAAAACGTCAACATTACCTCTGCACTTTACATGGATTGGTCTGATATGATAGCATAACCTGAGTTGTTAAAATGCATTAAGACAATTTCAGAAAGGGTAGAATTTGTCAATAGCAATTTCCAAAGTGCTTTTCTAAAAGATAAATATATATCATAGCTGTCTTTCAAAGCCATGGTCTTCCCAAGGCACCTTCCAATATAAAACAGTAAAATTCAATATTAAATTCTGAAAGCATCTCAACATTTACATTACTTTAAAATAAGCTAGTTAAAATAACGCTTAAAAATTAAAACCAGCAAATACTGTGAAACTGTTTCAGTTAAAGGATAGATGAATGGATACATTATAAAGCTTTCTTAAAAGCAGTTTCTGTTACGTCTTTTCACATTTATAATTCATTTTATTTCCACAGGTGGATTGTAGACATGGATGGTGCTCCTGGAACATTATATGAAGGGGAGAAATTTCAACTGCTATTTAAATTTAGTAGTCGTTATCCATTTGACTCTCCTCAGGTATCTTATATTTACTTATGTTTTGCTTAAATTTTGAAATGGTTGTATGGTAAAAGTTGAATCTAGATTGTTTATAACTTTAGTTCTGTTAAATATTTATCGGGGCACCCTTTAGATTTTGTTTTCTGTGTTGGGTGGGATTATAATGACCTTGGTGAAGGAACTTTCTAAAATTCCTTTGTCATGGGCAGATCACTGCTTGGCAGAATTTAGACTTGCTTTACGGGGCAAAGGGCCCATTAAGATAGGCTGTCCCAAGAAACTAATGGATCCAGATGGCTTCTACAATTCCTGGTAAGCAATTCTGTCACAGTCGTGGTTAATCCGTGGGACACAGCAATGGCTCACGCATTTGACATTCATGATCCAGAGTGTCCTCCTCCACAAAATGGAGTCCTATGATTATCCAGGGTGCTGCAGGTGATGCAATAAGTGAGATGTTGACTACAGCAGCATCAACTGAAAACTCAGAAAAAAATATGAGATGGGCTAGAGCTTATTTGAAATCCTACGCTATGGCAATGAGGGCAGCAAAGAAATTTGATACCCTCTTCCACCAAAGTTTCTGATAGGAATCACCCATCAGAGATTTTTCAGGTAGTAAGCAACCTGTTACACATTGCTCCACAAAAAGCAGCAGTAGACCATTTGTCAGGCCACTGTGATCAGTTTGCATGATGCTTTGCAGATAAAATTGACTGTAGCTGTGCCAACTTGAATGCCATAGTTGAGGTAGATCTACTGGATGCAACTTTGGTTCCTGCTTGTCCAATTGCAATGGGTATTTCTCAAATGGTACAGTCAGAGGACCTGGACAGGATTCTTGGAGAAGTGAGACCTTCCGCTTGTACACTGGACCCTTGCCCTTCCTCACTTAGTTGTTAAGTGTGTAAGAGCAGCAGTTGAATGCCTCTTTACAGCAAGGTATGCTTCTGTTTTGCCTGAAGGAGGTGGTGGAAAGACCTTTGTTCTTTTTTTTTTTTTTTAAAGAATGTTAATTGAACACAACTATGTTGAATAATTTCTGGATGGATTACAATGTTCCATTCTTGGGCAAGGTCCTAAAGCATCTGGTGGCTTTTCAGATCAAGCGATTTCTGTATGAGATGAATTATCAAGATATATCTCTACTTGGCTTCAGAAACTGCTTTGGTCACCTTGGTGAACACTTTGCGCCAGAAACTGGATAAAATGTGTGTGTCTTTGAGTACTGCTTTTGTGAGCTGTGAATTCTTTCAGCCACTTTCACTGTCACCAACCATGGTATTTTTCTGGGCCATCTGTTTGAGATGGGACTGAGAGGTATTGTTACACATTGGCTCTCGACCTGCTTAGAATATGAATCTCAGAAGGTGGTGCTGGAATTCATGTTCAATGCCATTGCCTTATGGTATTCTTTAGGGTTCCATCTTATTTCCCATCCTATTTAACTTCTACATAAATCCACTAGGAGAGGTTGTGAGGGCCTTTGTGGTTTGTTACCACCAATACTGACAATGCCCTGCTATGTTTTTCCTTTCCATCTAAATCCAAGGAAGCTGATATGCTTCTAAACTGGTCCTTGCTTTCAGTAATGGATGGGATGAGAACATGCATGTTGAAGCTTAGTCTAAAGAAGACAGAGGTACTCCTACTCATTTGAAACGCAGATCATGGAATAGGTATCCAACCTGTGCTTGATGGAGGTTTTTTCCCCCTGAAGCTTCAGGCTTCGTTCTCTTGGACTTGGCCCTGAATCTGATGTCTAGGTCTTGGCAAAGGTCGGGAGTGGATTTGAACAGCTGAAGCTACTGCACCAACTGCAGATGACTCCCTTGTTACTGCAGCTTCACTGGCTATCAGTCTGTTTCCAGGCAGAGTTCAGAGTGCTGGTTAATGACCTATAAAGCCCTTTAAAGGTCTGAAAGATCATCTTCTCCCATACAAGCTTGCTCAGTCCTTACAATCTTCTGGAGGGGTTTTTCTTTCAAGGTTGCCACCATTAGAAGCATGTTTGATGATACAGAAGAGGGCCTTTTCAGTGGCCAGGCTCAGGCTCCCAAAACTTTCCCAAAGAAGCCTAGGATCACAACCTCTTGGCTTTCTTTCCAATAGCAAGCAAAGAGTGCTTTATTTAACTATGCCTATGGCCTGTAAGTAGGTCTGTGGACTGAGTGTAATTATGTTTTTACTGTATTTTACTGTCTTATAGTATGAATCTATTTTAAATTGTTTATAAGATACCGTAAATGCAGTTTTGAGGGGGGAGCCTTGTATTAGCTTAAACATTATTTTAAATTCACATGTTGGTGTTTGCCACTATAAAATAAAAACAAACAAACAAATCAGACCTGTGGCCTTAGAAGACCAGAGAGAGGAAAACATAATACTTCTTTGATGAGTTTATTCACTGACACAAATGTGTTGGAATTTGAAACCAAATAATGGAAATTACAAGAACTGGATGGTGGTATACATTACATTTATATTCCATCTTTTATCCTCTTGTAAGGACCCTAGCATTTTATCCTCACAAAGTCACCCTGTGAAGTAAGCTAAGAATGTGTCACTGGCCCAAAGCCACCCAGTGAGCTTCATGGCTCAGTGACGACTAGAACCTGGATCTCCTGGGTCCCCAAACATTTAGATCCCATAGTAGTGGTACTGAGATATTTGGGAAAGTTTGGTTTGAGAAGGAAGCTTGAAATAATTTACTATAGCAATGTAGTGTGAGAAAAATAACTCTGTTACATTGTCAGTAGTAGATAGCTAAAACTTTTAGTAGGTTCAAAATTTGTTTACTGTTTATGAAAAATGTGATAGACTGTTATGCCACCATAAAAGATAAGGGAATTCACAACCTGGTATCAGTTCAATAAAACATACAGCAGATATTGAAAATATAGCAATTGAAGATGGTGGTACCCACTACATGTCTGGGAATGCCCACATGAGTAAATATGGTTTCACGAATAGGTGGAGGAATTACACTCATCAAAACTCTAAGGAAAGGTCATTCTACAGAATGGGGGCTACCATATTCAGTGGGGTCCTCCTTCCAGTCACCAGATGTACTTACACAAAATGAACCCTAACAATCTCAGTGAATAGGAAGGGTCTGTATGAAAGGAAGTGCTTTACAGCTAGACCCCAAGGTATCCATGGTCTTTTAAGTTAGGAACAAAATCATAAACTCAGTTCAGTAGGCAGCCAGTGAAATTCTTTCATTACTGGTATAATAATTTCCATTGTTAGATGTTCTGGTTGCATCATTTCCCATTAGTTGCAGCTTCAGATCCAATCCCAAGGGCATCCCCACATAGAATGTATTACAATAATCCAGTATGTGTTCTATAGGAAAAGTAGAATGTGATTAATACACTTAGGGAGCAGAGGGGATGTTTCAAAAGTAGAACATCCAATGAGACTGAATAATTTAGTTGTACTGAAGTAGTTTTTCATCAGTAAACTAAATCAGTATAGAGCTTTTTGGAAGTTTTATTGGCAATGAATTATCCAGATTTAATCATGATTGACTTGACCCATTGAATGTAGTGGGTCTACTCTAAGTATTACTAAGTCTGGATCCACAATACCTTTTCGTATTAGACATTTAAAATTTAAAGCTGATGTTTAATGCTTTTTGAATTTTATGTGAATAAAATGTTAATTGTTTTATTTTATTTTATTTTATTTTGTAGGTCATGTTTACCGGTGAAAATATTCCTGTTCATCCACATGTTTATAGCAATGGTCATATCTGTTTATCTATTTTAACAGAAGACTGGTCTCCAGCACTTTCAGTGCAATCAGTTTGTCTTAGCATTATTAGCATGCTTTCCAGCTGCAAAGAAAAGGTATGACTTCAGAAATAGCAATATCAGAAAAATAAGTGATAGAAAGATCTCTCATTCTATAGCTGAAGTTTTACTGATGCTTATTGTTACATTTTAAGGATGCCAAATAGTCTGACAACTCTAAGGTAAGAGAGTTATGCTAGATCAGAAGGTAAAGTTGATTGTTCATTGTTAAGTGTAAGTCACTGAATTTATTATTTTGAGAAAGGTAGCTGTTTTACTCTTGCAGAAAAAATCAGGAGTCTCCTAGCACTGTAAAACTAAAATACCTCTTCTGGTACAAGCTTTCATGGACACAGTCCACTTCCTCAGGTGCATGAAATGGTAATTTCAAATTGGCCGAAGCATATATAAGTGATGCTGGAGAATGAGAGACATAAATTCTGTTATTAGAAAGAACTGAAATACAAAGAATATAGGCAGTAATAGTTATTTTAATGTTCATGGAATGGGGTGCTAAATATTGTGATTTTAAAAAATTGGGATGCATACTGACTTTGATATTGGAGGCTATATTTGGCCATCATTAATGCTTGCTTATAGGCTTATTCTCCCTTTCCAGCTATCTAGCTTGGTGGCCATTACTACATTTTGTAGTGGTGAATGCTGTACTTTGACTATGTGTTGGGCAAAGAAGTACTTCATTTTTCTTTCCCTCAAATCTCTCAGCATTCAGTTTCACTGAATGACCTTGAATTTTGGTATTATATGAGAGAGAAAAATGTCTCCCTATTCACTTTCTCTTCACCATTCATAATTTTATTTGTTACATTTACCTTCATCATGTTTTGCCTTACTCACTTATTTTTTCTAAATTAAAAATCCCCCATCTTTGTAACCTTTCCTCATAAGAAAATTCTTGGATGTTACATTGACTGCTCTGTGACATATCTGGTCTAGATATAAAAGGAACAAATGCATATGCTTATTGAGCAAGCACAACAGACTTGTTTCAAAATTAGCTTCAGTTTATAATGAAGTCTGTCATAATTCTCATGCCCAGGACTTACGGGGGCAAAATACAATGTTGGCAATAGATGGTTTTTACACTGGTGAGGTGACGTTCAACTCTGTACTCCATCAACTCTGCATCTTTTTGCCATCTGACAATTGCATCTCAAAGGAAATGGAAGGAGGCTGATGCACCTTCAGCAGGCCTCCAGTCCTGGCCACTACCATCTCTTTTCCACCCTCCCACTGAAGAAGCCCCTATCAGCCCTCTCCAGAGTTGCTTTTCTGACTTTGGTAGGTAGGCAGCACAGGTCTTTTTGCAGTTGCTGCAAGGGAACTAGAGATCTTATTCCCAGCTCTGAGGTAAGACCTTTGTCTGAACTATCTTAAGAGTCCAGCACTTCAGACAAGAAGTAATAAAGAAGCAGTTGAAAACACTGCAGATTTTCAGGAAAGAAAAAGTTCAGAAATCCCAGACTTGTTCATCATGGCTGTTACTGTAGAAACAGAAACAGAGCGAGTCAGAAGGGGTCTCCTGGGCCATCTAGTCTGACCACCGGCACCAGCTGGCCCCGCTCGCTACATGCCCACCATGTGAACGTCCAGCCTATCCTTGAACACTCGGACCGATGGGGCCTCAACGACCTCTTGTGGAAGCCCATTCCACACCCTCGGGGTCCTGACTGTCAGGAAGTGCTTCCTGGCATCCAAATGGAACCTTGGCTCCTTGAGCTTTGCTCCATTGGAGCGCGTTCTGCCTTCCTCTGCAGGGGAGAACAGGTCTCTACCCATCTCCATGTGACATCCCCTCACATGCCTGTATGTTGCCAATATATCCCCTCAGAGTCTCCTCTTCTCCAGGCTGAAGAGACCCAGTTCCCTCAGTCTCGCCTCATACGGCATTCCCTGCAAACCGGCCGCCAACCTTGTGGCCTTACGCTGCACTGACTCCAACCTGGCTATATCCTTTCTGAAATGAGGGGCCCAAAACTGAACACAATATTCCAATTGCGGGCGCACCAGAGTTGTGTAGAGTGGTAGTAATACCTCTCTTGATCTAGCAGCCACACTTCTGGCTATGCAACCAAGGGTGGCGTTCGCCCTCTTGACCATCACACTGCTGAGTCATGTTTAGCCTGCAGTCAACCAGTACCCCGAGGTCCCTTTCACAAGTGCTGCTCTCCAGCCACTTGTCACCTAACCTGTACTTATGACAGCTATTCCTATGCCCCAAGTGCAAGACCTTGCACTTATCCACATTGAACGCCATCCTGTTGTCTCCTGCCCACTTCCATAGTCTGTCGAGATCCTTTTGGATCTGGAGTACCTGCTCCTCAGTCGTGGCCACTGCTCCAGTTTTAGTGTCGTCTGCGAATTTGATCAGCAGACTGTTCACCCCTTCTTCCATGTTCTTAATGAAAAGATTAAACAGGATTGGCCTCAGGACAGAGCCCTGGGGGACCCTGCTTGTCACTGGCCGCCATCCCGATGATTCCCCTTTAATGGTTACCTTCTGCTTTCGGTCAGTTAACCATGCCCTAATCCACCGGACAGTGCTTTGGTGTATCCCAAAACTCCTTAGTTTCTCCACCAAGATATCATGGGGCACTTTGTCAAAGGCCTTGCTGAAATCCAGGTGTACCACATCCACTGCATCCCCTCCATCTAGCCATCTCGAAACCTTGTCATAGAATTCCACAAGGTTTGTCTGGCAGGACCTGTTTTTGCGGAAGCCGTGTTGTGTGGCTGTCAGCCTCCCTTCCCTATCTAGCATCACTAGATCTTTCTCTATTATGAGCGTTTCCATTGTTTTTCCTACAATGGACGTAAGGCTAACAGGTCTATAATTCCCCATGTCCTTTCTACTACCCTTTTTGAAAATTGGGACCACTGATGCCACCCTCCAGTCCTCTGGAACTTCACCTGTTCTCCACGAGGTCTCAAAAATGGAGGCCAGCGGACGTGAGAGAACCCCTGCCAAGTCTCTAAGTACTCTTGGGTGTAACCCGTCAGGGCCTGGCGCCTTTGTAATATCCAATGCCCTGAGGAGCCCCTCGACTCCAAGGGGGGTGACTCTAATCTGTGCCCCTAAGTCCCCAGCCTCATGTAATCTCCTATGTGGATATCCCCCATCCTGCTTTGGGGAGAACACAGAGGCAAAATAGTCATTTAGCATCTGTGCCTGTTCCCTCATATCAGTCACTGGATCTCCTTCCTCCTTATTTAGTGGTCCCACCACTTGTCACCCCTTCCTCTTCCTATTTACATGCTAAAAGAAGCCCTTTTTGTTGTTCTTGATATTCTTGGCAAATCTCAGCTCGTAATCAGCCTTAGCCTTGCGAAGAATTGTTCTGCAACGGGCCTCCTCCTCCCGGTATACCCTTTTGTCTATTTCCCCCAGTACCCATTTCCTACGGAGGTTCCTCTTTTGTCTAATCCCTCTAATCACCTCCTTTCGCATCCATGGCGGCACTCTCCTCCGCCTCCCCACCTTACTGACTAGAGGTATCATCAAGGCTTGCACCTCCATAACCTCCCTTTTGAGTGCTATCCACCCCTCCTCAACTTGCTTACCTTCCAGTAACCTGTCCCAGGAGACTTTCCCCAGTCTGGTCTTCAGTTGGCCAAAGTTGGCCCTCTTGAAGTCCCAGCTTCTAGTGCTTGACCTGCTGCACGTCCCCAGTCCCCTGATCTCAATGCAAAGGATGTAGTGATCACTTGCATCTAGAGCTCCCCTAATCTGTACTTCATCTATCACCTTCTCCCTATTGGTGAAGACCAAGCCAAGGATGTTTCCCCCCCCTTGTCGCCTCTTGGACCCTCTGTGTGAAAAACCCTCCCTCTATAGCTTCTAGGAAGCGACGTGACCTGGCTGTCACCACCAAGTGAGTCTCCCAAGTAATATCCGGGAGATTGAAATCTCCCATAATTACTGTGTCTCTCCCCTGAGATATCCTTAGAATCTGGTCTGTCAGGGTCTCAAGTTGACCTGGAGGGCGATAACATACCCCCACTGTCAGGTCTCTTTCCCTGTCAAAACCCCTAAGTTTCACCCAGACTGCCTCTACCAAATCCCCATCTGTGCTGCATTCTATCTCACTGCATCCTATCCCTTCTCTGATGTATAAAGCCACACCCCCCACCTCTCTTTCCCTTCCTGTCCTTTCTAAAAAGGTGATACCCTTCTATGTTCACGTTCCAGACTTACCTTTCATCCCACGAAGTTTCTGTGATTCCCACCAGATCATACCCTCCTATTCCCAGGAGAGCTTCAAGCTCTTCCTGCTTATTACCCATGCTCCTGGCATTGGTGTACATGCACCTCAACTCCTTCCCACCGCTTCCTTTCCTTGGAGTTCCCAGCCTCCTCCTTCCTCCCATCCTCCCTGATACCTGGCCCCTCTCTGTAGGAGTCCTGTCAGTCCCTGCAGTATCTCTAAAACCCTGCTCCCAGAGCCCTGATCCTCCTCCAACACTTGTCCAGTGCAGACACGTTACTGGGGGGCCTGAACCCCCCCCCGGCTCAGTTTAAAATCTTCCAGACAAAGCTCGCTAGAGCATCTCCAGAGCACCTTTTCCCCATCCTCGTGAGGTATAACCTGTCCCTTGCCAGAAGTCCATTGGCAAGAAACTGAGTGCCGTGGTCGAGGAACCTGAAGCGTTCCTTCTGGCACCACACCCTAGGCCAGTAATTTACCTTGGAGGCCCTCCTGTCCCTTCCTGGCCCAAATCCCCGGACAGGTAAGATTGACGAGAAGGCCACTTGGGCCTTCAGCTCCCTGAGTTTCTTCCCCAAGGCCTCAGAGTCCCTGGTGGTCCCAACCACACCCTGCCTGGCCACATCGTTTGTGCCCACATGGATCACCAGGAGTGGCAAACAAGACGCTCCAGTCTGTCTTTCACATGCCGGATGTGTGCGCCCGGCAGGCAGCAAACCTCCCTTGTCTCCAGGTTGGGGCGGCACACCGCCGGCTCGGTGCCCCTCAGCAGGGAGTCCCCAACAACAATCACCCGCCACCGTACCTTCCTGGTGCTGGTGAACGGCCGTGCCCTGGCCGTCGCCTCTCCCGCAGCGGCCCCCTTGCTGCCTGACGTCCCAGGCTGGGGGTCCTGCTGGTCCCCAGAGGCCTCATTAGCCCCAGCCTCCCCAAATGGAGAGAACCTGTTTCCCAGCTCCAGACTGGTGCCAGGAGAAGGAGGAGGCTGTGCTGGCCTCCTCCTCCTGTGGGTGACATACCTGCATGTCTCCGCAGCTGCTCCTCCCGTGGCCTCTCCCTCAACCCTCTGTCCAGATGGGTGCTGCTCCGGGGGGGCCTGGAGAGCTCTCTCGGCCCTCAGGCACCTCACCTCCTCTTCTAGCAGGGTCACCATCTTGCACCGAGGGCAAGTGTATCCCTGCCTCTCCTGGGGGAGAAGGGCAAACATGTCGCAGCTCTCGCAGCGGACCGCAACACTTGTGACTCCCGCCAAGGCCATCTCCTGGCCTGCCATCGGTATCCCTTCTGAGACCTTACCTTGGTCCCCTGCCTTGTTTCTCCTGCAGTTCCTCTCACTTGCCCAGTTCTCCCAGACAAAAACCCACTTGCACACACACAGACAAGGATAAAATAAACTTAAATTGGAAGAAAAAGCAAAGCACAGCACAAACAATCAAACCGCTGTGTCTCAGGGAAGGGAGTCCCCGGGCAGCCCGGGCCGCAGCTAAGGGACACAGACAAGGGACGACGTCTTATCAGTCCCTCCGGCCGGTGGCCCCGCCTGTCCGCTTCCTCCTGGCCCCTCTAGCCTCTTTGGCCCCGCCCCCCTTCCTCTCCGCTGCTTCTGGCCCTCTGCTCCACTGCCCAGCTCCTACCTTGCCTTCGCCAGTCCCCCAGTCACTCAGCCCTCTCTCCCAGCCTGTGCCTCTGCTGCTCTGCTGCTCTTCCAAGAGGCCAGAGCCAAAAGGGCTTGCAGTGGCTGAGCGTGGCCTTATCAGTCCCTCCGGCCAGTGGCCCTGCCTGTCCACTTAATGTACTTTTAATACACACTTTTTCTTGCATATATATGACCCTTATATACTAAAATGACATGTTAAGTCTTCTTTATTACAGAGACGACCACCAGATAATTCATTTTATGTAAGAACATGTAACAAGAATCCAAAGAAAACAAAATGGTGGTATCATGGTGAGTATTCAATCTGAAAAATGTTTTGCAGAATGAATACGATAAATTGCAAAAATGTACAATGACAATCACTAATTAGTAATACAATTAAAATGTATCCAGTTTGCAAGCAACTGAATTTAGATTTGCTTTCTTAGATTTGCGTATTATATAGGCACATTTTGCTATAGCTCAATGCTAGAATACATGCGTTAGTCTCAGATTCTGTCCTTGGCATCTCTAGTATCACATTTAGTTCAGAAAGACACATGCCTGTGATTGTAGAAAATTACTGAGAGTAGGCAGTGCTGATAGCTGAACCAATGAGTTGATTTTTTGTAAGTTAGCACTTTATACTGTGCATTTTTTCATATTCTGCAATAATTGCCATCCCTGGTTGTCAAATCTATAGAATGGATAGAGTTGTATTTATTTTAGGGACAATGTTCTTTCTCAAAGACGGCAAAAAGTCCAATAAATTAAAAATGTGGTTGGATTGACAGGACAATTTTGCAGACATAAATGTATTCCCCTCCCATCCCAAACCTTGTATGATAAGGTGATACTTAGGCAACAAGAGACAGATACTCCGGCAATGGAGGTTTTACAAATAATGCTTCTGTCACAGCTTTGAGCAGAACAAAGCAATCTAATTATTGAAGATCAAGCTGTCTGTTTTCTAGAGCCTGTTTCTGCATTCTTAAATAAGTCAAATATGTTAATCACTACTACAATATGTATTCTTAGTTAGCATTTTTGCATTAAAGATCTTTGAAGACTCTGGACATCATACATGTTTATTACACATTATTTTTTGTTTTGTTTTGTTTTGCTTTAAAGATGACACTTGTTGATGCCACCAGTTTGTGAATCTCCTAACAGAAGATAGTCCTACTGAGAAAATGAGCACTTTGATCATTCAGTCTTTGAACTATAACCTCCTGACTGGAAGTGACAAATAGGCAATGAAGACTACTTCCTTAGACTGCATTTTTACTAGTGTGCATTCTGGGCGCATGTTGATCGCTGGTTCAGGCCAAGCTACTGACATGCTTTTCTTGGTCATACAGTATTAATGCAGGTGTCAGAAAATCTAAAGACTTCGATTTTTTAAACTTTTGGAAGAATTCCAGGTCTTTGTGTATTGTGCAATAATATGAATTTCTTGACGGTTTTGGTGTATCCATTGCCGGCAAAAGATTGTATCAGGAAACTTATACCCCTGCCACAAAGTTAGATGCATGATAGAGCCTTTGAAAAGTTTTAAGTATATTGGGATTATAAGTAACCTTTATGTTAAAAGCCACCTAATTGTTTAGCTATGGATTCTGTGCACTGTGATCATAAAACTAGCGGCGTGAATTAAAACATGCTTAGCTAAAGAACTAATAAGATTATCACATATTTAATGAACTGTCAATGTTTTGACAAGGAAGATTTTTCCAAGTTATATCAGCAGAGAGGTACGTACTATGTTATCCCTATGGTGAAATAAATACCTTTTTGTGTGTATATTATCTTTCTGAAGCAAAGGTATGAATAAAATAGGGTAGGAGTGATTTAATCAAGGCAAACTTTGTTCTGGAAATGGGAACAGATGGCATTGATACAACTGAATTTGCTGCAGTCCATAATTGGACTTGTTAATATGTACACTAGAGCTGTTTTCCAAGTAGATTGCACACTGTTATTTCATACTAGCCTTCAGCATGAGCCCTGTTGCCTACACAATATTTCATTTATTTATATGTTTGGAAATTTTGTTTGAGTTCACTGTTTCTTTCATTGTGTTATATGTCATATTTGAATGTTACAAAACAATATTTTCACTGAAAAGCTGTCAGAAGATATTTTCTTGTAAATTATTTCCTTACCTTGTAAACATTTATCTTGTCTTTTAATCCTGTACTATAAAGGAAGAAATACATTTTGGGCAGAGATGAAATGTTTTGACAAAAAAGTGTGGATCTTTTTATTTAAGCTTAGACAAATATATATATATTTTTCTTATCTTCCTTGTCCCATACAGCCATAGCAATTTTTCCAGGTTTTTCTTCAAAGATCTGACTACAGCTAGATTTACCTTTTTATATAGAAAAACAATTGTTAAACAATAGTGAATTGTTCTTCACCTCTATGTAATTTTCTGATGTCGCATCTAGGCTGTCTTTTTAGGAAGCACTGATGTGTCTTTTATAAACTTACTACCTTTACACATATGCAAACTTTCTATTTCAATGCTCTTTTTAACGATGCCTTATTGTTGCACTAAAAAAAAAAGTCAAACCTAGTAGTCAATAAATGAATGTCTGAATTGAGTAAAGCTCTTACTTGATTTTTAAAGTAAGAACAAGATCAGATAAACATACCTAGCAGGATTGGTTGGATAATCTTTTTTTTTTTTTTTTTTTGCTTTTCTTTCTTTTCTTTTTTTTTACTGCTGTGTTGTAACATAGAAATTTTATAGATATGTACATACCACTGTATCTTCTCTAATAATTAAGACAAATATAATTGCTCAACTCAGGGGTGGGTACAAATCAAATGGAAGAAAAATGGTGTTCTGTTCAGGCACTGAATTACAAGCTATCGATTTGGTAGGGCTGTTTTAAACAAGGAAATTTTATCTTTTCTATTTTAAGGGAATCTTTATTGGTGTCTCAATCAAAAATGAACTGATGCTGTGAATATAAAAATGTGTAAAGATGTTCATACTCTTCTGTTACAAAATGAAAAGTATCACTTTATAATTTGTTCATGCCAAAAATAATGCTGAGGATTTGGAATGTGTATTCCTCTTTATGATTTTCTTCTAGCAAATATTTTTACTTGTAAATGAAATCATAATCCATTAAGAGATGTATGCAAACTGGCAATATGCATGAACAGTAACCACTGAATATTTAATTGGTATCATTATAATTGCTTAATTCACTTGAACTGTGTGTTAGAAAACTATGTATGCATACAGTAGATTTACATAATTACCCATGTCAATCTGTTACCTAATCCCCACTGAAGGGAATACCCTCATATGTCTGAAAGTTTGAATTAATTTGTCCATCAGAAAGGCTAATGCAGTTGTTCCCATAATATAATATACTGGTTTTAAAAGATAATGTACAAACTAATCCATGCTTAAGTGTTGCACATATTTTTATTTGCCTATATAAATATCACAGTTTGGATTAAATGGAATTCCTAAACAAACAAACAAACAAAAAAGTATCTCAGTTTCTTTATGCTATTCCTGTATTTAAAGAATTACTGTGATAACACTGAGTTGGAGCTAGATTTGCTCAGAGTGGAACTGCATGCATTGATGATTTTGTGTTTAAAAAGTGATTTTTACTGATTCCTCAGTGCTCCCAGAAATCTTCTCTTAAGGATTAAGAGACACAAAGTATTGTGCAAGGTGGTGCAGAAATGTGTGGGAGAGAATGAATGAACAAAAATTGCTGCCCCACTCTTCATCCATCCGAAAGTATCTTCTGGGTTCTGATTCCCTCTGCCAATAGAAGAAACTTTTTCATGCACAGTGGAACAACTTTGGCTCCATCTCACTGTTATCTATATTTAAAGCAATCTAATTAATTTACAGCAATTCCAAGTAGAATAGATTAGCTCAGATGGCTTCAGCATCTTATCTCCTACAAGTCCAAACTAGATTGCTCTGAAAAGCCAACAAACAACAAATAAAGGCAATATCCATCTCTCATTGTTACACAGCAACTGATAGTTAGGGGCATACCTCTTTGGAACCTGGAACTTCCCTTCCGTATGTAGCAATTGATAGACTGATTTCCATGCATTTGTTTAATACCCCTTTAAATGTAGTTATTTTACATGTGGCAGCACATGCTGCACCTCAATTGTATATTTACTTGAAAGATTTTTCTAATTGATTCCATTGGAAAACATTTATCTAACTTTTCTAGAAATGTATAATTTTACAAAATCAAGACCCAAATGATTTAGCCTTCTCTAGGGAAGATGCCACAAGCCCTGGGTAACCTTTTCCAGTCTGAAGTATGATAACCTGAATCCTATGTCCAAAAGCAGCTGCACCATAGATTTTGTATAAAGTGTTATAATAGTGCACTTTTTTTGTTTTATTTCCAGTACATTAAAGATTTTTGCCCTTTACACAGTTTGCACGTACTAAGTACAAAGTCTCATTTTTTTTTGGTTACTACCAGTTCAGTCCTTAGTAGATTTGTGAAGCTCAGATTTCTTTCTTTCTTTCTTTTTTGGTTGCTCAATCTTGAAACTTGTTTGTTATTTTATTGCCCATTCATCTTGATACCCCTTTGAAGCTCTTCATAGTCCTCCTGAGGTTTTTATCCTTACTGAATAATTTAGTATTTGGTATCGTGGCCATTTCACTACTCCTAACTCTTGCTCATTTTAAGTTAACAAGTGCAAATCCTCAGGTAACTGTACCTCTATTACTATTCATTTATTCCTACTTTCTATTTAACCAGTTAGCAGTCTGTAAAGAGAAACTGACCTTTCATCCCTCAACTGTTAGGTTTAATCAGGAAGTCCAATGTCTAGCAGATAATTTCAGTTGGCATGCTTTCTTATAAATCCCTAAAATTAATTAGGTGAAACTTCTCTTTGCAGGAAGTATTATGATTCTTCCTTGACTAGACTACTTCTGTATGTTTCTTTTATTTGTTTTCGACCAATTTACCTGGAACAGCCTTTAAGCTAACTATATACATCCTTTTAAGAATGGTGTTAATGATGGCTCCTTTTCATTCTTCTGGCTCAAAGGTTCAAGAACAAATTGTCTAACAAAAATATGCAATCAGCAATTTTACATTTGAACCCTTAATTCTTTGGTGGGTGGGCTAACATGACATCATGTGCCTGAACTCTGTCTCATAATCAGTATTTTAAACAAAGCTATACAAAATACTGAAAATTAAACGAAAAGAGACAATGGAATGTACCAATGCACCTTGATGAATGAAGGACATCTTATATCCTTTTTTTAAGCTTAAGAACATGGCAGATTGAGGCCCAGTAGAAGACAAAAGTTACATTTCAAGTATGGGGGAATATATATAATAAAACACCAAAAGATACAACAGATCTGAAGACAATTTACTAAAGCAGTTTCACCAGGATTGGTACCAAGTTATCAAGCTTTTAAAAGATCAAGATTCAACTGATGTTAGAAATATAGGTCTTGAATACAGCTAATAAACTTTGTGTTAAAGGATCAAAAGGCAGTGTTGGGTCAGTTCAGGGAAGACGCAGGAGTACTTGGTGTCTCTGGAAAAAAAATCTTCTGAGCTAATCTTGTATCTGTGAGTTTAAAAAGTTATGATTGAGATAATATATTACTGTGGCTTAAAATAAGTTTCCCTGATGTGATCATTGTGCACACAGGCCTCTATTTGTAAAACCTCCATAAGGATCAAGGTTTCATGATATAGATTGTTTGACTAAAGATTCTCAAAAAGTAGCAATTCTGGAAGCTGCTGCACTGAACAAGTGCTACACTGAAAAAGAAAATAGAACGGGAAAGAATACATGTCCACATATTTGAAGGCCTCTGCCCAGTTACTTTGAGGGAAAGGAAAGCATTTTGCTTTTCCACTGATCAGCTTCATATAGCAAGAATCAGGTACAGATGAAAATACCCAGTGAAAATAATTCTGTACTAGGAAAGAAGAATATTCTCAGCATTGACTAGGAGGTACGTGGATTACCTTATACAGATTTTTCCTTTGGAATCAGAAGTTCAACAACATCCAAGTGAGCAGCCACAGATGATAAAGAATTGAACCTTGAAATTCTGGAACATGAATGGGAACAAACCAGAACCGGCTAAAACTGCTGCTGACACAACTCAAGAACATAAAAGAGAATAATAAGCACAGGATTTTGGAAACAATCTGGCTAAAGCAGTAAGTCAGGACTTATTTGAAGGTGACATATTCAATAGTAACAGACAGTTATTTTTAGCATTACTTATGGGTTTTTAAGCTTAGCATGTTTATCAGAATGAGTGTTCTTTGGAAATCCAACTCCCATATTCATTTTCCCAAAGCAGTTCAGGACTAGCATCTAGAACACAGAAGTCTCCATATGGGGACTCTCAGGAAGTAAAAAGGGAGAATAAAAAGTTGTATTGTTAGCAGCTTTGATTTTTATTGATGATATTGTGGGATAAACACTGAAGTTCTCTAATAGAATGACAATCAGATAGAATAATATGAAGGATGCAGTACCAATATAAAATTTCTAAATGTCAGACAAAGTTCTCTCCTTTATAACTAATGGTTTGAGTGTGCCAAGCCTCCTCACAAAATAATTAAAATTTTGCTTAGAAGGGAATGCAGTGGTACCTCACTTCACAAATGCCTCAGTTCACGACCAAATCTGTTCATGAACAAAATTTTCAGAAAAAAATTGTCTCTGTTCGTGAACTCCACATAGGGTGACAACCATGATTGTGGCCATGTTCCTGCACAAACGCGATCACGCCCATCTTCCCTGCACCAACACGATCACGATTGCGCCCATCTTCTCCACTCGCAGTTGCAGACAGACCTGTGGTCACTTGCTGCGAAGCTTTTTTGTGTCCTTTTTAGCACATACAGTACTGTAAAGTATTATTCAATAATAATATTGAATAATGGCTCCAAAGAAAGTGCAGAGCAAGCATGGTGGTAAAAAGAACGTGCAGAGCGGTAATGAAGGTGACCAGAACGTGCAGATTTTTCACCAAAATTGACCCTGCAGCTAAGAGACAGGACAGGAAACCCCTGAAGGAGAGCTCCCTGATGTCCTTATGGAGGGGGACTCTCCTTCCAAACGATAATCTCCCCCCACCCCACCTAGGTTAGTGTTCTCTACTGTACTGTACTTTGTTGTTGTTTGTTACTTTGTTTCAAATTTTTGTGATAAATTACAGAATGGATTAACCTTATTTACATTAAACCTTATGGGCAAATTTGACTTGGTTCATGACCAAAATCGGCTCGTGACCAAGTTTGTAGGCATCAGAACTGATTAACCTTATTTACATTGATCCTTATGGGAGAATTTGACTTGGTTTGTGACCAATTCAGGTTGTGACCAGAATCGTGGAACGAATTAAGTTCGTGAACCAAGGTATCACTTTAACTGGATAATATGATGTCTCGGGAAACTCACCAGAAAATGGACAAAGATCCTTAAGAAAAAAATTCTGTGGTTGCTAGACATTTTGTGATGTGCCACAGGATAGTTCAGTTTTTTAGCAAGAGGTTGGAGAGAGTGCTTCAGTCATAGAGCAGGCAATCACCGCTCCAATATCTCTTGCCCCCACTTGTTCAGAATTAAGCATGCCACCTGCTCTCCAGGGCAGGAAAGGGCTAAAGGGGGCATTAATGGGGAGAGGATGAGACTGGAATAGCTAGTATATAAGGTATCCTGAAGCAGCTGCAGCCCCCTTCCCTCCACTGTGAGATGCTATCATTAATCATCCAAAAACATTCATCTAGAAAAAATGCAGAGTAAAGGTATAGGGAGACAAAGATCTTCCTACGTGCCACTGGAGTAGATGCAAAAGAGAAAACAATCACAACAATTTAAAAGTAAAAGATGCAGTACAGAAAAATGCATAATTTTTTTCAGATTTTTATAAAAATATTAATTCCATTTCCTTTCTAAATATAATCCAAATTTGACAATATTTACAAAGCAACCAAATAAAAGATTTTGCAACTGAACTTTTAAAACCAACTAGTATCTTTTGAGAAGTAATGTGAAGTCATAAAGAACACGGAGGAAAAAACCACCTGATATAGATGGCTATACTGGAAACTGCTGTAAGTTTTTGAGTAGGCAATAGCACCTTACTTACCAAATATTACCAAAAATATTTAATCACATTTTGAAAAATAATCTTTGTCTATTGTGCTGGCAATCCTTCAACATAATCTTGATTCCAGAATCTGCAAAAATCTTAAATGATCCAGACTTCCCATGCCCCATCACTCTTCAACTCAACCTAACAAATTATTCACCTGTATTCTGTCAAAGAGGTTGAAAAAAATGGCTCCTATATTAAATTAATTTCTTGATGTCATGAAAGCTTTTGACGGTTGGACTGGTAATTTCTTCATGAGGTTTAGCATGATATAGGGTTGGGTAATATATTTATGTTGCAAATATGCTTCACATCCAACAGAACCATAATATGAACAAATGATTACAATCCATTACCAAAAGAAAGGCAATCCATTACCAAAAGAAAGCAGCACCGTATTCTCTCCGTGCTACTGTGTGCTTTTTTTATGGACCGTTAGGGGAAAATACTCAAAATTGTCCTCATGTTACAGGAATCCCAATACGTGGGGCAAAACAAGTCATGATGTTCAGATGATGTGGCTCTGACTCTAGCAAACCCCAGAATTGAGCTACTGAGAACTAAACAAATTATAGAACATCGCAGGATACTTGCTTACTTCAAATAAAAAAACAAAGAAAGATAAATTAGATTTCAAATCTCTTTATAGGCTTATTTGGAGCAGCCTTAATAAATGGTTGGAACTTACTTTGACTTGGTTTGGCTTAATTTGAAAATTGCATAAGATAGTGAAGTTACCCAAACTAAACTATTTTTTTCAGACCCTTTCAGTGATTCCCTTAGAAAATACTTGGATAAATTGTTCACACAATTTATTCATAGGAGCAAAAGAATGCAAACAACAACAAAAAGCTAGACTTAGAAATACTATAGTATTCCAGTACAGTAAAAACATAGACTTGGGAATTCCATATGTGAAGTTTTATTATGCAATATAGCAATTCAGACAAGTGAAGCAGTTTCTGGATGTCTGCTTGAGCTTTTGGATGCAATTAAACAATGACAGAAAAACTAAGGAAGAAATATGAGGTGCATTGAATGAGTTGCATTCAATTTACGTTGAAAAATGAAAGTAAATAGCATCAACAGATTAGACAATCCCTTTTTAAGGCATGCATGCTTAAAATAGCATAAGTGCAGAAATAAGGTTATTTCAGATCTATCACCAGTTTTCTCATTCTTTCTGCATCCTTTGTTTCATAAATAAAATATAAGTAATTTGAAGTTCAGAAAGAAGAAAGCTATACAGATTAACTGCTCTGCAGTTACAATGGTT